TGCAAATTAACAATTATTGATGTTGATTCGAGCATTACAAATTATAATCTTTTGAAATATTGTTGAAAGAGCTTACTAAAAATTTAATGAATAAATAGCAAAGCAAACTAGGATAATAATTAAAAAAATCTTATTTCCAAATGTTCATTTGAACTGAATTTAAATCATTCAAGTATGAGATCGATTTTTTCTCACATGTTTTCCTCTTTTGAACTAACAAACTTTGCTCATCCATATTCATCATTCCGTTAAGAAATAATGACAAGTTCTATACTTTACGCCTGATAAAACTTTTATTTATAGTTTCAATTCAGTGAATATCATTTTCATTCGTAAATACCTTTCCAATTAATTCTAAATGTTCTTTGACAGATAAATCATCATAAAGAATGTCTACAATAAACATAAAAACAACTAATGTCTATCTCAGATATGTCTTTTTTTTAATTACCAAATTGTGGACAAAATCCAAGAATTTTTCGAACTTCTTGAATATGTGTTCGATTATCTAATCCTTCAACAGTCACACGACCTGATGTTGGTTCTAACATACCTAAAATAGATACATATCAAAACATATCATCAACATATTATTTGATAAAACGAACCAACAAGTATAAATGTTGTTGTTGTTTTTCCTGCACCATTATGACCTAATAATGAACATACTTCACCTTTATAAAAGTTTAATGATAAATCTGAAACTGCTTGAAATTTTCCAAATTTCTATTTGAATAAAATTTTATTTAAAACACTATATAGTAATATTTGATTATTTACTTTTGTTAAGTGTGATACTGTCAATGATGGGTTATTAATTGTATTTGTCATTGAATTCAATTCAATCCAACCATTACTACCATAAATTCCATCGTTTTTATGTGTTAATCTATCATTGCTATCCAACGGTCGCACAATTGATGTTGCATGAGGTTTCCAATAAGATTTTTTAAAAAGATAATTCCATGGTTGTGAGACTCCAAATTCACCGGGATTTACACGTTCAACGTACATTGCCAAGAAAAAATAGATTACCGTATAAATAAGCATTAAAAGAAGACATATTCCAATGTATAATGGATATGTATATAGATTCGAATAAAGTTGTTCAAATGTGGTCATGCCACCTAAATGATTTAAGGTTTTCAATAAAAACAAGCTGTTAGCGCAATTCCAGCGGGATTAACATATGAAAACATCATGTCACTGTGTCTTGGTAATCTTTTCTTCTATCTATTTGGAGATATGTTTCTTCACCATCGTTTTACTTAATCCTTTAGAAATGCCTAAGGAAGTAGTTCATATATTATAACGAGACGTTATTAGTATACCATCTGTTATCGAGAGCAAGATCGTTGCTAAGACGTTTGTGATGACCTCTGGCTAGCATGGAGTGGCCGAATTTCGACAATAAGGCTTTCCATCAGTTCGACTATGAACTAGATATGAACTAAAAAAATTTCTATTGACTACGTTGATGAGTGTAAGCTATGATATATATATTGTAACAATATTAGCTTCAGCTCTCATATGTATTCTATATTAACATTGTGATAGCTAACAAAAGCCCACCGTACACTCACCGGCATATCTCCTGGAATTCATAATTTAGTGAAAATTTACTGTTTTTCCGTCAATGTACCATCCGGACTTTCATCATTAGCGAATACTTTATTGGCAAAATTCCGGCCACCCAGCTGGAGTTCGTAACAATATGTGGGAGCAGGACTGGATTAAAATTTTTATTCTTATACTTCAACACTCCTTTTGGGATCGTGTTTCATAAAAGGGAACAAAAGTTAAAACTCACTGCTTTTTCGTTCATATTGTAAAACAACTTGTAAACAAAACATAAGACCGGTATTTGGAAATAAACATAAAAAATATCGAACACCAACCGGTACACCAGGATAAAAATCAATTAATGTTATTACCCATACAACAAAACCCATTAATTTGGATAGAAATGCTATAATTAAAAATGAAATGAATAGAATCAAATTAGAAAATCTATGGTGAGACTTACGACGTTTAAAAAATTGTCCAAAAAGAACACTAAAAACTGAAACTTGTATTGAATAAACAAATAAAATTGTCCAAATTAATGTCCAATGTGTATAATTAAATATAGCTTTACGAACACTATTTTTTCGTGTACCAATTGTTGGTAAAACAATCATACTCAATCCTGTCACTACAGCCGAAAGAATAAAAAATATCAGCATTGATCGTGTAATCCAAACTAAATTATTGACCCAAGTACGAAGACCATAAATACGCAAATATTCCTATTTAAATAAATATATTTTTCTCAATATTAAAAAGATCATTCTTTTTTTTTTTTTTTTTGGATCAAAAAATAGCATAAGTGATCGTATTCATGCATTCTACACTCCTTACTTTTGTCTTATTTTGCCTTTCTTCAACAATGTAACCAACATTCATGATAAAAGTAATAAGAAAAATAATCGAGAAAAATATTGGAATAAAAAAACCAAAAACTGAATGTAATTGATCAAAATAATATTCTGGACAACCAAAATGATTCATAGAAATCTATTTTCAAATTAATGAATTGAATAAGTTTTATAGTCTTAAAAGTAATTAATATGATCTTACACTTAATGATAAATTTTGAGTAATTTTTGTAACATATTGAATAATTGATAAATCTATGAAATATTGAATACCGACAAATCGATATGTATAATAATCAAAACTTGATTTGTCTTAAAATAAATAATAATACTCTAAATATTTAATTATTAATATTATTATCAATTAAATTACCTTGACAAAAATCTTCAGGCGAACGTTTCCATAGATAATCATTTCCTGAAATTTTTACACTTTCAGCATGATAATAATATGGACCATTTCTAAGTTTAAATAAACAGTAAAAAGAAAGGCAATCAATATAATGAAGTTAATCAATTACTCTTGCATGCGTAAAGTATATTTAACTTCATTTGGCATCACTGATGAATCAATACATGAATCAAGATTATTAAATTGAATATAAGCAATTATTGATTGCAAGGTTTTATTTGACAATGTTGAAAGAGTAGAATCAGGTATGACTTGAGCTAGAAGTAAATTTGTTTTTTCAATATATATGTTACTTATTTAATGAATTATCAATAATAATAAAACATACTATTATTTGGAAAATTAGGCCATCTTTTTATTAGATTATTTACAGCATTAGTAACAATAGTTGTTGTACAAGGATTTCCTATGAGAAATAATTGAGACTTGATAAGGTTATTATTGAATAAACAAACCTGGATAATAATAGATGATATCACCACTGCCAATAATTGATAACATATCTTGTGGATAAAAAGAAGGTATTTGATAAGCAGAATAATAACGACGATCAAGAATATAACGCATGCCAAGTAGAAAACCCATAAATATATAAGCTAATAAAATTTCGGCAATCGTTTGACCAGGTTTTCGTATAGTCAAAAGAAATGTTTTGATAAAAAGTGCTCGAAAATCATTAAGAAACTTAATAAAACCACCATGTCGATGATGGTTTTCATGGTATTCCATCATAATGCTTTTCTTTTACTGCTTATAGTATCTATTAACAAGAAAAAAAAGAATATCAAGGACATTTGAATTACTGCCCCTTATGTCTCATAAGTCAAGAAAACTTTCAACTTAAAAACAACATTTATTAGATGAATACATAATACTTCTTTTCTTCACTAAAGCACTTGAACAGGTAAAACTGATGATGAAGTTAAAAAGTATTGAGCAAATCAGGAAAATAAGAGATTAAAATTCTTATTCTCTTAGTAAATAAATTTCCGTTTCAGTTCATTTTTTTATGCTCTTCATTCATTATTATATATGAGATTTTTACTTTTATCTTTTATCTATAAAATTATTCAAATAAACCAATTAAAATATTATTTGTATTAGAAAGTTGTACTAATATTTTGCACTTTTCAGAAAAAAATTAGAAAGTCTATGCCAGATAAAGGCTTGTGACATGTCACATGACTCTTGAATTAAATGAAAAAAAAAACATCTGCCCCCAACTTATCTTCTATCTAGCTTAATTAGAAAACAGGATGAAAAAGAATATCTATAATATTAATAGATTGAAAAAAAAATTAAATAGAAATTCAACCAATGATATGATGAATGCCATTGAGTGACACATAATTATCATTATGATGATATTTTAGGAAATATCAACTATTGAATATGAACAAAAGGGTCAACTGTGTTCTACTGACAAAATAACTTTTATAAAATTCATGTAGTTTTCTCAGTATCATATTTATAAAACTTGGATGACAAATAAAAAATTAAAAAATGTCAATAAATAGAATGGAAAAGTTAACTTTACTAATAATCAATAAAGGATATAAAGATCGATATTTTGTTTTCTATTATTTAATTATAGCAACATGGAATTAACAATATGGCATATTCTGTTCTTTATTTTTTGAATCATAAAGTGTTGAGTTTCAAACACGACACAATAACCAGTAAGTTGTGTTCATTTGACTCAATTTATATTTCCATGTATCGAATCTTTTCAAAAATGAATAGACTTACTTTGTTTGGAAAAACTTACATTGATTATGACAAGCATTAATTTATCATTTATTGAGAATAATCTGTCTAAATATATATTATATTGTTTATGGTTGGCAGTCAGTACTGTCATGAAAAGAAAAAAAAGTACGGAAAGCGCATAAAAAAAAGAAAAACAAAGTGACGCGTTTGGATGTTTCATCTACTTTTTTTTTATTATGGATTAAAAGAAAAAATGACACTCGCAGATTTATGAGAGAAAAGACTCTCTTCTTACTCGTCAGTGTGACATATTCTGATGATATACCGTTAATTTTTCCTTTCTCATACAAATTAATTTGAAAGTCATTTTGGTAACATTTTTCTTTCTTTTTTTTTATCGCGTTATATGAAATACAACAAATAAAAAGAAAAAAAAAATGACGTTTGTTTTTTGTTAATTTTTATTCTTTGCCATTTTTCGGTGTATTACCATGATGTTCAGTATGACCATTAACTGTTGTAAATGTAAATCCATCATTTGTTTTATTATTATCCATCGAATTGTTTTCTAAAATTTCCTCAATACGTGAATCTAAACTTCCTTGACGGCTAATTGGTAATGATGAAGGTGTTGGTGAAACTAAATATTTATTTTCTTGTTTATTATTTGTCATCCAATAATCAATACTCATTTGTTTACTAATTGCTCGATGTGTCAAATCAGTTTTTGTTCGTCGTCGTCTTGATATAGGTAGAGGAGAATTTTTTAATGCACGTTGACTTAATTCATGTGTCATTGCATATATATGACTTGTATTAAGTGGAAGTATAGCAGCAAAACTTCCATTTATTAAGCATGGACTATGTGGTGTATTTGATAAAACAAGTGACATACGAAAACCATCATGTAAATTTTTCATTGTATTTCTTCGTTCTCGTGGTGATAAATTATCTAATGGACGAAGAATTTTAGTAGCTGATTTTTGTATTATATCCCAATCACGTTTTATATCATCAGAATTAGTTGATGTAGCTGTTACTGTAAAACGAATAATATATTTTCCTTTAATAGATGCTGGTACACAATGTATTAAACCACCACTATTTATTTCTTTTAATAATTGTTCAGTTAATTCATTTTCACCCTTGAGAAAGAAAAAATTTTCAAAAAAAAAAAGCGAAAGAAAAATTTTCTTTACTTTTAATCGAAATATAACAAGACCAAGATGTCGTTCAGCAGGTGATTCAAAGCGATCATCACTTTTAACTAGCGATTCAAACAATATACCCATTCGAACACCCTAAAAATAATCATAAAAACAAAATTTTCTATTAAGTTTACATCAATCAGCTAGAAAGAATTTCGATTTTTTGACAAAAAAAGTTGCATATGACAAATGTCAACATGGCTTTACTGTCAATAATAGTACTCGTTAAATTGATATAATTAATATCTTATTCAACGTCGTTTCTCATTGCATGTTCAATTATTCTATTCATCAACTACTTAGTTTTGTCAAGATAGTTTATTTTCGAAACAATTACTTACATTTCGAATATGTTTTTGAAGTCCTTCAACACCAAATGAACGAATTACAAACCAAAGTTTCAATGCACGAAATCGACGACTCAATGGTACTTGCCAATGCTATAAAAGAAAAAAGAAGATTACTCTTTCATTCATAACAAATAATACTAATAATGTTTGCATCATACCATATAATCAATTGCTACACCTGCATTTTCATGTTGAAGATATAATGGATCAACATTAAATGCTCGATGTAATGCAGCACTTGATTTTACCCTACAGAAATATGAGATTAGAAAAATAAATGTCGCATTCTATATCTCGAATCTTACCACATAGCCGTACAATCAAAATGAACCTAAACAAATTTTTATCATATATTAAATGAAACAAATAAAAATAACTAACCATCATCCATTTTGAAGGATTAAATGCAAATGATTGTGTTAGTTCTACACCATTCATAAAATGTCGAAATTCCGGACAAATAAAAGCACTTCCAGCATAAGCTGCATCAACATGTATCCATATATGTTCTCGTTCACCTATTTCAGTATTTTCATTTTAAATAATTCTATTTCATTAATCAATAAAACTTACAGATCGAACCAAGTTCAATAAGATTATCAAAAGCACAAGCTCCCGTTGTACCCAATGTTGCACAAAGCTAAAGATCCTTATTAATAAAAAAAAAACACCGAGATTCCATTGAATATTTAACTTACATAAAAAGGAATAAGACCATTTTCTTTATCTTTAGCTATTGCTTGTCGTAGTGCGTTACCACGTAAACGCAATTTATCATCACTTGGTACAAGATTTAATTTAACCAAGCCAATAAGACAGGCTTTTTCTACTGATGAATGAGCTTGATCAGAACAGTAAGCAACAAGACGTCCATTGATTTCGGCTGGACTTAAATAAGGAAATTGAGCTTGAACTCTATGAATAACTTCTTTTCGAGCGGCAAGTAATGCAACAAGTGTTGCTTCAGAAGCTGTTGTCTAAAACATTTTTCGACAATTATTAAGATAAAAGTTAACACGTCAATTTACTTGAATTACACCTCCACCGGTTGTATCAGCATGTGTATGTAGAAAATCATCAGGTAAACCAATCATTTTTGCTAACCAATCCATAACAACTGCTTCTAATTCTGTACATGCTGGACTTGATGCCTAATTGGATAAGAAAATCTCTAAGAGTAAGATTTTATTATGTGTTTGTTCAGTTACAAAAATATTTAGTAGACAGATTTAACCATGTAATAGCGGGTGATTGGAACGTTTTTAGACAAGGTATTTGTTTACTGTTGATCTGCTAGAAATTATTTCCGATGAGTAAGGACCAGAATTACGTGCTCAATTATTTTAGACTGAACTTGTGAACTGAAGTTGCCAATGAATATGTTTATTCATTTTAGCCTGCTTGAAATCATTTCAAACGAGTCAAAAACTATAGATTGTGATCAGAATTTGAATATAGGCTTACGTTAGACATGCTGTGTCAATTATTGTGGTTCTTTTTGAAAGTCCTGAAAAGTTATTATTAATGGTGAACCCAAAAGTTTTTGTTGATCTTGTAAGTCTCTTTTCGAACATGCTAAAAATTGTCGGAGTCAGTCATTTTGTAGAGCGGCCACTCTACAAAATGTGACCTTGAACTAACGAGAAAACCTCTCCAACTACTTTCTTGTAATTCAATGATTTTTTTTGCCTATGAATACTAAATAGTGTTCTAATAAAACCCATAAAACGATTCTGGTTCATAATGAGATTTGACTAAACAATCGAATTTTTTTTAGAGTTCCCGGTTTTCGGAAAACTTATATTTCTGATTTTCGATGTGAAACTTTGTGCATGTAGAGAGCTCAACTAAACTAACTTTCACAAAAAAGTTCACAAGTTTTGAGCAATCTCTTCAAGATGTAAATTCATTTCCATCGATAGTGTATATAAGATGCATTTTTTGAAAGCTTCATATCATGAAGATACTTTCTTGAAGACTTCTTAATTTTTTTTAATTCGGAAATATCAGTTTTCCAAGAATATGATGCTGCTCGAAAGAAATGCGATAGCTTAGTTCAATCTCAAAAGAAACCTTAATTCTGTCAGAGTTTTTATTAGAATACTATGCAGTATTTATAGGCAAAAAAAATCATTGAAATCGAAAGAGAACCTATGCCGAGGTTTCCTGGTAAGCTGTCCCTTTATCCAACCATTTTTTTCAAGAGCTTCTTTCAGTATAAAACGGTTCATCGGGTTTTTCAAAAATGAGTATTTAGGAAAAATGAAAATCGAGGTGCTTGTCGAAAGACAGAAAAGAACTTTAAATAGTATATTTTATAGAATAGCTTCTGATCTACAAGCTGATATATAAATAAAGATTTCAACTTTTAGTTGCGAGTCGTCATAGTGGAAATACATAAGCGTACAAAAAATTTTCCACCTAAACTAATATCTTGGAGTTTTCAAAAGTTATTTCACTACTCTCAAACAAAAACAGAGGCAAAATTTCTAAGTCCATATTCGAAAATAGTACAAAATTTTAATTCTCATTCATGACTTTTGATACTTTCTAGCAGGCCAAACGTGAACAAAGATCTTGTTTGAAACCGTTCCGATTGACCGTTAGGTGTAAATTATTGTCTATGATTTTCATGCTAAAAAAGTAACTAATGTAATGGCTAATCGAATACATTCATTTTTATGCTTCTTAATGAAGTCTGAAAAAATTGGAAACATTGAGTTTGAATTGAAATTTTTTATTCTTTCTGAACATAGTTTTAGCATCTCTCGACGATTTGTGATTTAGAATTTATGAGTCCACCTTGTAGAAGTGCGATAATTATGTTTGGACGGAGAAAATTGCCTAAACCGACATGGTATCCTTTACTAAAATTTTATAGAGAAATATTTGATTTATTAGTCGTCATATTAAAAAATAGTTTTTGTATTTACTTTGGATAAGTTTTGGCTCTTTAAAGTTCGTGTGAACTTAATTTACAGGCTTCTAAAAATTCAGCTCATAACTTCTAAATCAGAAATGCTACAAAAATTTCGAAGCCATATTTGGAAAGCATACAAATGCCTGATTCTAACTCTGTGGTATGAAATTTTCACAGTATCCTTTCACAAGCTAAAAAATGAATAAATATTGTGTCAAATTATTTTTCGATCATTCGTTATTCTTTATGATCAAAGTTTTCGTCAATAGAAAGTCATTACTTTAAATAACCAAGCTTGAAAAGCTCAAATGAACTATTAGTAGTATATAAGACACGATTTCAGCTATTCAACTATAGTAAATAATTCGTCATATGATCATTTTGTTCCAATATTCATTAAAACATCACGTAGGTTCTCACGTTTGTGAATGGAACACATCAGGGATTGGAACAAAGTTTGTTTTTTTCTTATTTCTTTTTACATACCCAAGTAAATCCTATTTGATTTAATCCGTTTGCTAACATATCCTAAATAAAAACTAAATAGAAAATGGTATAACAGTATTCATATCATACTCCAAGTAATGATGGATAAGAATTTAAAGCTGGAAAATAAGCATGCATATAAGGAGATTGCCAATGTGTAACCTATAGAAAAATCAATGAAATCTGTGAAAATATTAATTTGAATAAAATATACTCCCGGCATGATCACACGTTCGATATCTTTAAAAATATTTTCCCATGGTTCACCATGTATTGGAGCTTCTTCATCAATCATTGGTCGCATATAACCTGGTTTAACATTTGGAAATACACGTCTTGTTCGAATATTAGTTAAATAATCAGCTATAAAATCAATCATTTCTTTTCCTAAATGAAATTTTCAAATATAATTTTTTTCATATATATTTGAAATTCTAAAAATTTTCATACCTCGTTGTCGAAATTCATCTGCATCCATAATAAAAACTTCTTTAGTTTGATTGCAAATCGTACTGAAAAGAAATAAAGAAAAAAAAAACTGACGATTGACTAATTTTGAAATAGCTCAATTAATTTTTCTTGAAATAGGATATTTCTCTATTCTTTTTACTTTCTCGGTTCGTTTTTTTTCTCAACTGACAATTGACTTCAAAAGCACGTTAGATATACAAAAAAGAAAGCCTCTCTTGTATGATTCAATCAAGATAAGATGCTGTCTTCTAAACTGATCGATGGCTTGCACGAGAACTTTGTCTTTACTTTTGTTGTTTTTTAAATCAATAAGTCAAAGGACACGTTCCCTAGAGACTATTTCTTAATGATTCTTCTGAAGATAATAAATTATAAATGTGGGTGAAACTGAATACGAAATTTAGTCTCGCTAGATTTTATTTGTCGTCTCTATTTGCTTTTTTTTTTTGGTAATATAAAATAGTGAATAGATAAATATTGTTGCTTGAAAAGTCATGCCGTCGGATGTTCATAAAGTCTAATTAGCGATTTGAAAGTTAGCATGTACGCAGATGTGCAAAAATTAATGACAAGAGTAATGATGAGAAATAATTTTTTTGTATTTTCTGCCGGATATTCAAGTTTTATTATAATTTATTTTGTCAAGTCTTTTCAATGACAATTTTCATCACACACGTAATTTTGTATGATATAATTAAGCAATTTTTTAAAAACTTTCTTTTTATTAGGTTTCTGATTAAAAATAAAAGAGATATTTGCAGACTTGATTTAATATGTGATGTAGACAAAGATACATAAGTCTGATCAATTTTTAAGACTAGTTCAAACAAATCATATTTTTCTCTATCGACCTATTAAGATATTCAAATTTCTATGCATTTTCAAAGAACAATTTTATTTCTGAATAAAAAAACTTGTTTAATAATATACGTAACAAAAAAAAAAAGAAGTTCAAGATAAAATATAACGCATTAAAATCCAACAAGACACATAAGCATATACAGTGGCAGTCAATATTATCCAATCAGTAGATTATTTTATTTTGTATATATCTCCAAAATTAAATGAAACAGAATGATCTCTTTTTCATTAGGTTACAAGACGTAGTCTTTAGTATACTGATAAAAAGTTTTAGGTCAATACATTTTACAAGATGTTACGTCCTGTTCTAAGTTGGAACTTTCTTTATAATACATGACTCAATAGAGCAAAGTGTGCTCTATGTAATGAGTAATTTTTTTTTTATCATAGTTTTCTTTTGAGTAGGAGTTCAAAAAAAATACCATCCGTCTTTTATCCATACCGGAAGTTTTCAAGAAAAAGGAAATCAGAGACAATTTCTTTTTCAAATTATGCTTAACCAGTTTTATTGTTCGTTACATCATTAGCAAGAGTACTATACACTGCATTGGTCGTCTCTCATGTAGACCTCCTTGTACAATTTCATTCACACATTGAAAGAAGAATAAAAAATTGTTTTAACAGTATAAATTTGTAAAAGCACGCAAAAACGTCAGTACATACTTCATTAAATACATAGCTGATTATTGTGCGTCACGTCTGTGTAATTGTAGGATGAAATTTAAAACAATACGCTATATTAAGTTGCATTTAATTCATCTCTGCTTGGTGAGACACATATCCAGTCTGCTCCTGGAACTACGGTAAGATTTTGACTTCAGATAGAAGTTTCTTTTACGAAAAAAAAATTCTTCGCAAAGTTAAGCTGTTAAAACAACTTTTTATACTATCTTCAATGCGTGAATAAGATCATACATATGGGTCCATCTACGATTGGTATATAAATAGGAGATTACTAGCATAATTTTCCAGCATGAAATATCTATTCACTAGTGTTCTTACCAATGGTATATTGAACAATATAATTGACTAAAGATTTATATGAAAAAAAAAATGTGCCTTTTTCTTGGAAACTTCCGGTATGGGTAAAAACGATTTGGTTTTCTTTAATCTATACTCAAAAGAAAATTCCGCTAAAAAAAATTCTCGTTACGTAGAGCACAACTTGTTCTTTTGAATCCAGGAGCGTAGTCAAGAATTTTCTAAGAGGAACGCCCGATTTGTTATGGAATGCAAACCAGCAGGAAAATAAATTTTTGTTTCGCGAAAAGATGTTTTTTATCCATCTTCCTCGTCTCCTTGAATCATGTATCATAATGAAAATTCTAACTTAGTCAGATGTGTAACAAATTTACAAAACAACAGCTTCAATAGATTTTGTAATCTGATGAAAAGTAGATCATTCTAGCTCATCTAATTTTTGAGATATATATACACAATAAAATAATCTATTGGTTGAATAGTTTTGTCAGTCACTATATATTTATGGACGTTTTTTTTTTAATCTTGTTTACGATCAATTGTCCAAATTCCTAATATATAACGAAGCCAAATAGCTAATATATCGATTCCCATTTGTAATGAAGCAGTAAATGGATCGAGTTTTGAACCTGGAACTTCGTGCCAATTAACATCAATTTCAACAATAGGAATGTTTAATTTTTCCGCAATATATAAAAGTTCAACATCAAATGCCCTTTAATGAAAAACGTTTTAGGATAATCTTTTTTATTTTTATTTTATTTACTCTTACCATCGTTCAACATGCATTTGTGAGAAAATTTTCTCGGCAGCTTGACGTGAAAATAATTTATAACCACATTGAGTATCACGAATAGATTTTACAGCAAATAACCAAACTTCAAAATGAAATACATACATAAGTAATGTACGAAATGCTGATCTCTATTTAAAAAAAATTATTTCTTCTTATTAATCAATAAAAAGATTTTACTTTTGCAACAGATTCTTTTTCTAAATGTCGTCTTGAACCACAAACAACAACATCATTATTCTAAATTCAAGAAATATAAAATCATCAAAAGCACATTGTTTTTTTATTTACTTTCATTGCCTTTAAAGCACTTCTTTCAAGTTTAGTAAAATCACTAAATTTAGTTGCACCATCTGCATCAGCAAATAAAATCCATTGACCTCGAGCACTTAATACACCCTAATAGATAACAATGAAATTAGTTATAGAAATCAAATATCAAACATTCTATCTCACCATTCGAACAGCACCGCCTTTACCTCGATTAGCATCAAAAGTTAATACTCGAACTATATCTGTTCCATATTGAGTACTAAATATTAATGCAACCTAGAAATATAACTAATTATTTATTACTGAAAACAGTAGATCTTACTTCACTAGTTTTATCAGGACTTCCATCATCGACGATAATCAATTCATAGGTAAACGAGGAATCGTTTGCCTAACAAAAAAAAAATTCTAAATTTTAGCCGTCATTTTAAAACAAACATTTGCATTCCGCAAATTACAGATCATTTGACTAAAATCGACGGATTTCAAAAAACAAAGTTTTTATAAATCTCGAAAGAAATCAGTTAGGAACGCCGGTCTTGAATAAATTGAAAGAGAAATAACTTCATATTATCGTTGTTGAAGATCTCCACCAAAAACTCACTTGATCAATCGAATTTCAATGGTTTCTAGTCTTCTCTCTGATTCCTATCAAAAGTTACACAAAAAACACAGAAGCGTGTTATTCTTTAAAATAGATAATAACAGTGTTTACAAAAATCATACCGACCTAAGATGATGAGAAAATTTTTTATAACAACATGTTTTTTTTTTCTTTAATGTTAAACAATTTACTAGAATTCAGATAGTGGTTTATAGTATTCAGGTCCCAGAATATTTTATCGCAGGTATTTTTTATAATCTTCCTTCCAGCATATAAAATTATCACAAAAGCTGAACAACATGTTTTTAAGTCAACCTTAGTCTTCTGAAGCTTTAAAACTACCGTGTCCGGCTTTTTAGAAACCTTTTCATCAAAGTGAATCTATGGAATTTTGGTACAAGAAAACTCCATTGGCTATTAGAATAACTATTTCAGTTTGAGTTAATTGCTTAACATTATAGAAAAAAAATCTTGTTGAAAATTCTTTTCCATCACGCGATAATTCAAAAATAGTCGTGTCTGTGAATAGAGCTACTGCATATGATTATCATATTCCATAAACGATTTGAAGTTAAGTAGCCTTCTCAAGTCAAAATTTATTTTAACGAGAAATGTAACTCATCGATATACCTGACGTTGTTCTAAATAATCCATTGTATCTTTAATCATAGCAGGTACTAAATAGATAAGAAAAAAAATTTCGTAGAAAAACTATAAAAAAAAAGAATTTTCGTTCTATTTTTACATCGTTCTACTTCTTTATAAGCAGGAATAATAACAGAAAGATATTTGGAATGTGGATCTTTGAGTGATGGGAATGGTTTTCGTGATTTTGTTATTGGGTCTTGAAAATATTTTTCATTGTCACTTCGAGGTTTCATATTAAACGAACGTAGTAAACATATTAACTAAATAAATTAGATTTTTAACTTTATTTTCAAGTCATAAAGATTATATTAACTTACAGATAGAATAACTAACCCAAGAGGTATAAGTATAATTAACAGTAAACCTAATTGTTCAATCATCTGGAATAAAAATATATAAATGAAAGCTAAAAAAGGAATTGGCTCTAGCTATTTTTCAATAGTTAGGCATTGGTTATAAGTAAGTCTACGAAAAACTCATTATAATTTTCTTTTAATCTTATGAAATAGAACTTATTGAAAAGTTTTGTGCCAGACGGGCATCTTTTGATTAGTTCGTTACTTTTAACCAATCCAACGTATTAGTTGACTTTAGATATAGCGCCCTCATCCTCACGCAGTGCTGTGTGTTTGCAAATTAAATCTCTTGTATGTTTAAAGTAAACTAGGATTTCTTTATCGATAACAAAACAATATTATCGTTTCATTTTATAAATTAAATTAATTATTCTTACACAATTGATTATTATCTGATCTCTAAAATACTTTTAGATTCATATTCTTTTGTGATTTCAAGTTAAAAAAGGATTATTTTATTTTAATTTCTTGTAGAAGGAGTAATAGTAAATGATTCAACGACAGAACATGAATAAACACCAAGAGCATGAGAAAAAACCGAACAAACAAAAACAAAGAAGTTCACATTAAATAATTGATATTTTTTCTAAAAATTTATTTACGTACGATTGAAATTTTTCTTTTAACTCACCACTCGATTTGTTTCCGTCAAGAAATAAAGTTATTTCAGATCGTGAATCTCTGTGTCGTATACGGAGTAATATAACAACATACGAAGAAAAATACCATCGTTTACGGTACCCGTTTTGCTTCATATTTCTCTGTAAACGTCGACTTGGGTGTATAAAATTAACTTGCTTGAGGGCTTCGATTGTTCTGAAAATATATAAATAATATTCAATGAATAAAAAATAGAGCTGTTTATTTATATTTACTTTATTTTATAAATATAAATAAACGTTTATTATTTAAAAAATAAAGATAAATAAAATCTTTACTTCCAAAAGTAAAGATAAAATAAATAATAAAGATCTCTTCTTGTGATAGATAAATAGTATAATAATAGGATATATTAAACAATGTTCTTTTTTATTACCAAGATCGCTTTGATATGTCATATTATTAAAAAAAATGAAGGCTGATACGTGATAAAATATATGCAAAAAGCTTTTTTCTACATTTTATTTCTATCAATGATATTATAAGTTTTTGTGAATTACATGGTAAAAATTAAAAATTAGATTCTCATAGAAAAAGAATTTCGCTATTATTTATTTTATCTTTATTTAATAACTATAAAGATTTTATTTATCTTATTCTTTGTATCAAGGAACAATACATATAATTAACAACCCTAATAAAAGATGATACAAAATAATCTGATATAGTTCATTTTCATGGAAATTATATCCAGAGAAAACGATGAAAAAAAATTAAAACTTCAATCGTAGAATGAACATTATTTTTAACGTTTATAAAAAAATCATTCACAGCACTATTCTTAACTTTTATAAGATGAACCTTTTTAAAAATCAAGTGACACTTTCTGATAGTAAATGAGTAAGATTTATTCGTTCTTTTATTACATTCTCGAACATTGCCAGATCTTTAACAGTCTACACAGGGATAAAATCATACCAATACCATCAATACCAAAATCCTAATAAAGTATTGGCATTGTTACGTCCCTAAGCCTACACAATGCTTGAAACACATTACAATCTATTTAATTTTTGCATTCTATCGAATAAAACCTCGTTGAAAAACAAAAATTCAATATAAAATGACTGAACTGAAGCGAAAAGACGCTTACGTTATTTTCTATAAAAATGTCAAAGAACGATAAACAATGTTTTAACTGATATAGTTCTTTAATCAACAAATACAAATACAACAAATAGATCTTCAATTATTTATTCATTAACACATTTACCCCAATCACATTGAACTACATCAATTGATGATATATCTCGTTAAATATCAGTTAATAATCCAGAGGAAGTTTTTACTCGACAATTATAATCGTGGGATCCATCGCATATAGATAAAACAGGAAAAGTTAGTGAAATATATCAACAATAAATAGTTAACGTTTATTATAAATTCCATCACATGAATCATATTGTTAATAAATTCATATTAAACATGCCATAAAACGTATTTTAACAAAATCTGCATCAAGACGCGTACAATTACAACAAGTTAAACAATATTATTCAACAATTGTAGTTAAAAGACAATATTTATCTAAAACACAACAAACATCAGAAATTAGTAAAAAAAAAATCTTTGATTCGATCCTAATTTCTTTTAGGATACATCTACATCAGCATTATTATTAAGAATATTAGCAAGACTGGTTTGCAATACATCTGATGAAGATCAAATGAGAATATAATATGAATATTTACTTGAATCAAATTTTGTTTTCTTATAAAACTATTTCCAGTAATAGATTATTTATTAGATAGAAAAATAAATTTTCTATTTTCATTATCATACAATCAATAAATATTATAATCAGTTCAATTAATGATTACATCTTCATAACAACAACTTAGTTATTTACAATCATATGGTTCTAAGGGTTGGTTTATGGTTTTTATTGACATATTTACAGCATTAAGATAATACCGTGATTATGTTCAATTATTTCTTAGTTGGTTAGAAGTAATTGTTGCAATATGTTTATCATGATTAGATGAATATACGATGGATGAAAACAAAGTGAAATTAGTAGTAAATTACATCGAAATCATGAAAGACGACATGCATATTTATATTATCATAATCAGTTTGTCTTAATGAATATTTATCTTGATCAATGTCAAGTGTTTCAATCGATTAGACAAATATAAAGAATAATGTTTTTATTTTTAGATTCAATTTGTTCGTCAACAGATGGTCATACAGAGACCTTCTTTTTTATTTAAATGATCTTAAGAGAACAAGACAATCTCACTCACAATATGAAAATTCTGAACAATGACATATTACACAAAAAGCAAATCTTATTTAAGCCTTTAATTGTTGTTTATTCTATTCGTTTTAAATGTTGTAAATCTATTCGAATTATTTTATTTATTTATTTTTTTAAACGTAATATTTCAATGTTAAAATATCCTACGAAGAGAATCTTAGTAGAAATTCTATTTGTAAAATAGATCTTTAATAATCAAATTTCATATATAATTATGTGCATAATCTTCATTATAATAATAATCTATAGAAAAATAGATGTAGGAGAAGAGGAAGATATTCTTTCGATTTAAGGTGATGCAATAAAATTTTTCGAATCAATCGAAATAATTATAGAAAATAGCCAAATGAATTTGTTTTTATCTGACGAGTCGATCTTGATTCTTCAGTTATTTATGTAACAATGGAAAATAAATTCAACTTGAACTTTCCATTTCGATTAATAATTAATCTGTTTTAATATTTCAAATGATATCGAATACATTTATTTCTTATTAATAATCTATCATATAACAAGATTAAAGTCAAATACAAAATTTGGATGTGCCTATGAATTTTCTCGACACCTACACACAAACTTTATCAAGACACGTCAGAATCTATTTGTCTTTTTTGTTCAATTCTAGCTGTATTAATTAATTAATTATATATTTATCATTTTTGAGATTTATTAAAGAAAAAGCTAAATGATATTTTAAATTTTAATGTAAAATAATTATGTTTAGAATATTTGAAATAAAATTCACGATGAATTATTTTTAAATATAAAAGATAAATCATATATGTATTATTTTATATTTAAGAAAAAATATTTCTTACACCTTATGATTATTAAATTATCTATAAATTAATCAAGAAAGAGAGTAAACGATTAAGATTGATAAATTTAATTTAGAACAAAAGAATAGAACATCATTTTAAATAAAAAAATATTTTTTTGTTCATTTACATTTTAAATTGTTTTATTAGAAAAAATTCTTAAATAGATTCAAAAAAACAAAAATAAATTCTTTTTTAAATTTCTTCAAAATAAAAAATGAATTGGAACAAATCTTTATAAAATTTGAGTCAGAGACCTTTTTTAGGAAAATAACGAAATCTAAAAGGGTTGTAACACAAATACTATAGAATATTATCAGAATTTCAATAGAGATTATATTGATAATAAATAAATGTTGATTTATTATTAATAACAACCAATTTCGAGTCATATAAACAAATTGAATAGATGGGCGTGGCCATTCGTTACGGAATTTCAATTTTGAATCTTCTAAGATCCATTTTTTCGTAGTAACAGAAGTAAACGCTCTGAAATTTCTACTAGTAGTAGAGGCTCTCGTGATTAACTATAGGTATGATTTCTTTAAATTTTTGTTGAAGTCCGTCAAAGCTATAGAAAAAATACTAGCCGTTACGGAATTTCATAAAATGGAATTTTTTTAAAGANTACTTGGTTTACATCAATAGTTAGACTATCGCTAAGCAACAGACGAAGAGAAAAAGTCGATATGTATGTGAATATTTTAATAGTAATTTTCTTCACTTTTCTTTCTCATGTTTTTCTTGAATAGTGGAACGTTCTCGTTTGCTTAGCGATAGTCTAACTATTGATGTAAACCAAGTACAAATACTACTGCAATTGTTTATAAAAATCATTATTGAGAATGCTTTTTTTTTAGCAAAATTCACAGCCAAAACGTAAAAGATTTGTCTTCTTCAGACTCTTGTCCATGAATAGTCCTGAATGGATCACGATCTTAATTGGTTGCATAGCATGTTTACTTTTTGGAGGTTTTCAACCAGTGTTCGCATTTGTACTTGCCAAAATAGTCAATGTGAGTAACCTATCGACATAAATATTGTTTGAAAAGCATTGAGAATATACATTGTTTGATATTGATTTGTTTATTGTTTAGGCATTCAAATATTGTTCAACTTCTGAAAGACGTCATCAAGTGTTGATTACTAGCTTTCTTTTGTTACTTTTGGGTGTTCTTTTACTTATTTTTCGTTTCTTTCAGGTAAAAATGCTGCTTTTGAATATCATCAATCATTTATTCATTCTTTTCTATAGTATACAGCTTTTGCTATATCAGGATCGAAATTGACAAAACGTATCCGTTCGAAAGCTTTTGCATGTTTACTTCGTCAAGAAGTTGCATATTTTGATCGACCAGAAAATAGTTCTAGTGCCATTTGTGTTCGCCTTTCTTCTGATGCTTCCTCTGTTCAAGAAATGACTGGTACACGATTAGGAGCCATTTGTGAAGTTGTTGCAATGTCGATTTTTGGAATTCTATTTGGATGCTTCTTAAATTGGCAATTAACATTGATTGTTTTTCTTCCTGTTGTTATCATATGTATAACCAGTTGTGGGGATGTGGTCTTACGCATACGGACGAATCAACAATTTAATCGTATTAGCAAACGAGCAAGCACGGTAAGATTTGGTTTAGCCAATAACCTTTGTTTTTGTAAAAAGAAATTATTTTTTCATGATTTGTTTGATAAATTCAATACATTACATTGATTTTGTCTGTTAATTTTGCAGCTTGCTGTTGAAGTCATTTATAATATTCGTACAATAAAACAATTATCAATAGAAAAGGAAATGCTACGACAATATTCTGAACTTATTCATGAAGTATTTATGTTAGTCAATTGAATATTAGAAATAGATAAGTTTTTAATCAATTTTTTTCTCATAGATCGTCTTGGAAACCTGCGATATTACATGCAGCAGCATATGGCTTATACTGGATACTAGATACATACACTATGGCATTGGTGTACTGGCGTGCTCTCGTCCTTGTTGAAAAGAAAGAACTCGCCTTAGACCGTATTGTAATGTAATTGAAACCACGGTTTGATAATCTACAGACTATGTTTCATTATTCTTGTAATTAATTAGGGTTTATGCTTTTGCTGTTTTATCGATACGAGCACTGAAACTCGTCGGACTGCTGTAACATTCTCAATCACTACTATGTTTTCTTTCTTCTATTGTGTTGATTCTAGATCTCAGAGAATCGCTGCATCATTCTCAGCTGCTGAAACGTTTTTCGATTTATTTGATCGAACACCAGCTATTGACAATACATCTACTGAAGGCCAAGAATTAGTAAGAGGAGAGAGGCGACAACCATTTTTCTTCCATCATGCGAATATCATCAATATAATATATTTCATGTAGATTGATTTTCGTGGAGAGATAAAATTTGACTTGGTCAAATTTATCTATCCAACTCGACCAACATCTATTATTCTTAGAAGACTTCAATTACATATCAAACCAAGTAAGTGAGATATGGTTCCTTTTTAATTATGTTTTTCTTTAAAATATTTATTCACTGCTAAGGTCAACGTGTGGCTTTTGTTGGTATGTCTCAATTGAATTTTTCTCTTAAATACTAATTATGCAATATGATGTTTACAGGTGCATCCGGTTGTGGAAAGTCAACAATTATTCAATTATTAGAACGATTCTACGATGTTACAAGTGGCCGACTAGTTAGTATCTCTTCAACGAATAATTTGAGTAATCATGTAAAATTTGTTCATTTAATCTAGCTTATTGATGGCGTTGATATTCGAAAGCTAAATCTACAATGGGTTCGTTCTCGTTTTGGTCTTGTCAGTCAAGAACCAATTTTGTTCGATTTAACAATTGCTGAAAATATAGCATATGGCTTAGAAAACGTTCCAATGGATGATATTATCAATGCAGCAAGTAAAGCTAATATTCATCAATTTATTGAGCAATTGCCTCAGGTTAATCAATACAAATTTATATAATGTATCTATAAATTTTGTTTAATACATTTTTAGGGTTATGAGACAAAAGTAGGATCGAAAGGTAGTTTTCTGTCAGGTGGTCAGAAACAACGTATTGCTATTGCTCGAGTTCTTCTTCGTCGACCTAAAGTATTGCTCTTAGATGAGGCTACAAGTGCCATGGATTCATACAATGAACAAGTGAGTTTGCTTCTTTTTTTTATTTATCAATTAGAAGCTCTTGATGAAGCTCAAACAGAAGATTCCAGTCGAACATCAATCATTATTGCTCATCGTCTTTCAACAATTCGTTCATGTGATTTGATTTGTGTATTTGATAAAGGACAAATAGTGGAGAGTGGTACTCATACAGAATTGATACAACAACGTGGAACTTATTATAAAATGCTTGCTCAAAACAATTTACATTGAGCATCAATGAACTATTTTGAAAGTTAAAATACATTTTGCTACACATTAAGAAAAAGTTTGTGTAAAGAAATTCAATGCATAATATAGTTACATTGTTTAATTTACTGCACGATTATTATCTTTTATCAGAAATTGAGTATTTAATTGAATTACAGAATATTATATCGATTTTTTTTATCAACCTATTAGTCATATTTGAAGATAGTACAGATAATAATAACCTCAAGAACTGCTTAGAGTTTCATTAGTTGATACAACAAACAATTATACATAAAACTCGTAGCTTGATACATTCTTGTGTGATGATAATCATCAAAATGTTGACGATTTTATCACTATCTATTAGCCCAATTAGTTATGAGACAATATCTTGATATATTCGTTTAAGAAGACGATTGCTGCTGATTTCTTCTCGATTTTTATTGAAATGTGCAATTTTGTAATGACTTTTTATAAATCTTAATTTATATTCTCCTCAAACATTTTACGATAGTCAAATTGACTAACAACTATCATTAGTTTGATATATGACAAATCTCATACACATGGCAATGCCGATCATGAAGTGTTTCAATCTATATTGAAAAACGAAACTAGAATATTGCATGATTTTTGTCGAAGTGAATGCTTTTTAACTGCAATACTGTAATGAGAAAAACTTATCAAACAATATACTGATCCCGACTTTAAGTAGGATTTTTAATATAAGCATGACTTACTCTATTTTTGATTCTTCGTTGAAGATCTGGGACTTCATGCCACATGTTTTTTAAAGTACTTTGATTTTTATTAATTAACAATCATTTAAAACGTTACTTCATTTTCTTCATCCTTGAAGATAAGAAAAACATTCCTTATGTATAATAACATGCTGTACAGCTTTGAATAACTGGTACAGTACAATAAGAAGATTTATGTGCACAGCAGACAATGATTTGTCTTCGTTTGTTTTTGTATTGCATTTAGATTACAAGACTAATTATTTTTAGGGCATTATGTTCGCATGGAACTTGAAAATTCTTTAAATCAGGGTACTGATATCAATTTGCTTACTGCAATATTTTTTCTGTTTAAAGACAGTTTTAGTTAGACATACGTAAAGTTAGCAGCTAGTTTCCAGTTTTTGGGAGTATATTCGCCTACAGATTTGTGTTTTGTTTCTCTTGTTCATTTGTTTCACCGCTATATGTCGGTGTGTGCCTATTAGTCTTCTTACTCTATTTTATATTTATATAATAATATTCATTAAACTCTACTGTTTATGCAAGCAATGCACCCAACTTTAGGTTTTAACAGCTCTATGAGAAATGCTTGTGATTAGACTTCAGTTGTTTTCCCACATCCCTTGGGAGAATTCGTTATTGATAATACCAAAAAAAGCAACTTATACTAGATTTTGATATTGCGATTAGACACTTTTTTGGAAAACATTTATAAAAATATTCTCAACTAACAATTTAATTTTTTGGTCAATCAAGATGTTTTTGTTCTAAGATTTCTATGCATTTTCTTAAGATTTTTATTTTTAGAAAAATAATTATGCAGTATGTACAGCCGATCGAAAATATGTTAGACATTCATCATATCCAAAGAATGTTATTGATTTTCTCAATTGATTTGGTATATAAACTTTTAATTTATCATTTGTTTCATCACCTAAATGTTTCAATGAACTTCTTAATTTTTGTAAACACAATTTTGATAAACATAATGGATTTTTCAAATCAATAAATTTTTCTATTAATTTAACTGTTTGTTGAGATAGATGAGACTTAAATTCTTGAAATTTTGTTCGAAATTCACTAGGATAACCACATTGAATAATACGACATATATATAAATTCATTCGTGAACTTTGTTGATTTAACCATATCTGAAAACTTATATCAATATATAATGAATAATCAAGTAACATAAATGGAATCATTGAACGACTATGTGAAAGTAGAGTAGTTATAATATAATTCATATTATTCATATTATCTATACGAGCACCTTGTTGTAAAAGAAATTTAATTGTATGTTCAATAGATAGATCATTTCGATGATTAAACAATACAGAAGCAAGAACAGAATTTAAATTATGTTTATGAATTAATCGTTTGAGATAATTCGAATAAATTGGTATAGATTGTGGAGGAAAATAATTGAAAAATTCATTAAATTTAAGTTCAATTGATGAATCATTTTCTAATAAGAAATTAAATAAAATAATTCGAAGTGAAAGACAATATTGTGATGTTAAAATTGTTTTAATTGGTGTATCACATTTATTTCCTAATTTATAAAGCATTGAGAATTTTGAAAGAATAGCTAAAGCATGTGGACATCGATTAAGAAGTTTTTTATTTACATCTATATTATCATCAGATACTATTTCAAAAGAATTTTCCTCAGATTCATGTTGACATTGTCCACATAATAGATGCATTAAATATGAACGATTCCATCTATCACATTGAAGTAATACCGATTGATCATTAATATTCGATAAATAATTATCAATAAGTATCTGACATTTATTATTTGAATATAAATGAAAGAAAAGCATTAATGGTGTAATATTATTATTTCCATAGCATATGAATAATAAATTAATATTTTTTTGAAAATTCAATAAATACTCAATAATAATTTCATCACCAATAGTATAATATTCAAAAATAATTATTAAGATCCAAGAAAGATATGCACAATCATAGGGAAGATTTTTTTCAAGTAAAATTGATAAACATCTAATTAATTGATTCTTATTTGAACATGAATGAATCAATTTAATTATTTCAAAAGATGGTAAAGAGATTTGTATAGATTGAAATCGTAAATGAAGAAGTTTTTCACATAAATCAAAATTTTCATCAGAGATAGCACGTGAAAGTTTATTGACAATTATTGTCGATAATGCTTTTGGTGTTAATCGTGACTTTTTAGAAATTAATTCAAATAAATTTGACATATAATTTTCATCAAGTATTGTTGGTAATAATTCAAAAAATGCATCGATACATAGTGTTCGATCATCTTTTTGTCGTAAACACGATGAAAATTCTTTAATCTGTTTATGAACAATTAATGATTCAATAAAACCCTTACGAGATATTGTTGATAATGGTGAATTATCCTTATTATGAAACCAGGAGAATATTCGATTCATGTTTATTTCTTGATAAAAAAAGCTGTCTTTGTTTTCCTGATTTATAGTGAAATTTCTGTTTTGATTGAGTAATAACTATTTTTGACACGTCAACAGGTTGACGTCGTGATTAAGGTGAATCATCAAAATAAATAACAAAAGCACGCACAATAAAGATTTTGAGTTTATCGGATGTTTCAAGTTTCTATTTATTTATTTATTTACTTATTTTTCTTAGACAATTTTTTTCGTTGTGCTTTTAGTACAGCTGATGTTACAGTCGGAGCAGTTGTTGGAAAAGATGAAACTGTTGGTATAGTTGATGCTATTTCATTAGCTACTTCGACCATTTCGAATTTTGCCCGAGAACCAAATCGTGAACGAACTATAAAGGCAAAATAAAGACATGAGTTTACTATATATTGAGATATACAATATCATATTATTGTCTAATGAGTTTTAACAAATAACTTTGTGAGATTTGGATCATAATATTCTTTATGAAAAAAACAAACAAACAAGATAAATGATGAAGAAGCAAAAAAGGAGATTGGTAGATTTTAAAGATCGTATGATATTTCGAAGGACGATTTTCCAGAGAAAGCTTTTTATTATTTTTAGTCGTGCTAATTTAATGGTTTGTGGTCAAATAACAGTTATAGCCGATGAAATTTGATGAATTTTGTCTGCAATAGCGAAAATCTTAATCATTTACCAAGTACTCTAATGAAAGTCTTATTAGTAGTTTCAAGATTTATAATTCTCTTTATACCCATAAGTTGAAGATACTCAAACTAAAGCCATCAACACGTTAGAAGACCAGTTCCTTTGAATAAATGAAGCAGACGACCACCTCTAAGAATCGATCTTTTTAAAAAATAATTTCTACAGTTTATTTGACTGTTTTTAGTATTTATGTCCATAATGGTGTCTAAGTTCAGTATAAACAATATTTTGCTTCTGCCTTCATGGTGGCATGTCAGTTGTAAGTTAAAAAATTCTTGAAAAACAGCTAATAGAAAAGAACAATCTACTGAAAAATGCTTTCTTTTATTGAAAACATACTGCGAAGTCACTTCAATTCTATTTTGGCAGCATAGTCTGAAGAAAATTATCTTGGTTCACTATACGAAAAAAACTTTCCGATAATCATAGGGCCTAATTGATACAGTGCACAGTCGCACGGACCACACATGAAGACATCTTTCTAAAATACGAGCAATTTCGGTAAAATCTAATTATATATTAATTGAAAGGTTTCTTTATCTTTGCACTTTTTTTCTATAAATTCAGAAACCTTTTTTTATCACAGAACAGTCGATCGACAATTGAATAAAACATATCTTCACATGAAGGATTGAAAGTTTTGTTTTATGAAGTATTTCTTCTGAGTCTGAGAACGTATTGATTTTTGCAAATAGATCTAAAGATATTTTTCGAAACATACATAAAAAGATACTGGATGTATACTCAATTGCTATAACTATGCTTGTGATACATTTCACTGTGAACGAATTTTATCTAAACTATTCAAACTTCAACATAAGCAACTGACTTAAACAAGTTTAACAAAAAAAGATTAATATCCTGCTTTTTTTTCAGTTATTTAGTTATTGAGAAGGTTAAATGTTGCCAGTGACAGAGCTTATTCTTTAGTAAAAACACAGTGCTATTAGACATTGCACCAAGATATTAGGATATACTGACTATATTGTTGCAAGACCACTTTTCTTACCAACGATTGTCTCCGTTTTTTCACAGAATATAATTTGTTTCTTACTCATTCTACGTACGTGTGTCCGGTGAAATAAACTCGTTTAGTAATAATGTATTGAGTATCTTTATAACTTATGAACAGTAAGATAGAATAGAAGCTTTCAGAACTTCTAATTTGTCGAGTACTTTAGTCTAACCTCTAAATCATTTTTCTTTTTTCATTCTGACTTAACGGAGATGTCTCAGTGAAATCTCAATAAAAAGGAAAATCCTTTCGATATTGTACTAGTTTAGATGTCATATATTTATTGGTACAAAATGCTATTAAAAATTTGAAATCATTCATAAGACCTTCATTAGACGTTCCTAGCAAACGCTCCGAATCTCTGCCAATTCACACAAAATTCGACAAAAATTTTCCATAAAATATGTTTTCTGATTACTAGTCGTCTAAGTAGCACGATTAAAAACAATTAACAAAGCAGAACAATGTCCATGGGTTCACTCGATGCTAATTTTCTCTCTGTTTGTTTTAAGAAAACATAAGATTTGTAAATATAACATCAACATTGAAACTACAGAAAAACTGTTTTTCTTTTCAGATTTTGAATGTGTATATCACAACATTTTGAATTCACCCAAAATATTGCTCATGCTCTTCTAATAAAAATGAAATCATACAATTTCTTTTTCTTTATAATAATAAACAAATTTTTGACCTAATCCGAATGTAAATAGTGAACTTCAAATAGGAACAATGAAATCTTATATCTATTTTTGTAAGTAAACTAAACAAGTTCTGCCATTATTAGAAATATTATATTAATTTTACAAGTTTACAAAACTTTCTATACAAATTCGTTTCTAGTTTTAAACATTCAATAATACTGTAAAATCTCTGAAAAAATTAGACTTTTCAAATTTTAATTTCAAACATCTTAGGAAAATCAATGAGCATTATCATACCATTTGAATTTTCTGAACAATCCCATACTTGTAAACCTTTTGATTGTCCACCAAAAGCAAATGTAAATGGAAAATCAGGATTAGCAAGACATGTATTAATTCGACCCTATGATTAATAATTATTTTAAATGAAAATTAGACTAAATTCTAAATTACTGTTTGAAATTGTCGTTCAGCAATAAATATGACATTTTCATTATCAATATCCCATACTTTAACACAATCATCAAATGACGATGTTACCAGAAGACCAGGTACACTTGAACTTAAACATAAACCTAATTATTCAAATTAGTATTTAACTTTTATGTATAATTTTTTCGTTACCAGTAACAGCACCATCATGTGCAGATAAACTAAAAATAGGTATTGTTGTTTTTCGAATATCCATCGCATAAACATATCCGTTTTCAGTTGATGCCTGTAATTAATAATTATAAGCAAAAAAAAAAATTTTTTTTTCTTACTAAATATTGATTAGTATCAAATGTATTCCAAGCAACTCGTTCAATATCTGAATCGAATGTCCATCGATGTTGACTTGCTTTATTATTTGCATCACGACAATCTACTAAACATACAGTTCGATCTGCTGAACCTGAAAGTAAATTTTGTGCTTCAATCGGATGCCAACATATCGATTGAATCTGATGAACACAAAAAGAAGAAGAAAAAACAAAAAATCTTGTTAAAAAAACTCATTTAATAAATCTTAGCACTTACCGACCTGTTTTTCATGTAATTTTTGTAAATGTAAAGCCATTTTCATTTGGCTTAGATCCCATAAAGCTATAGTTGCATCAGCAGAACTTGATGCAATTATTTGACGAACAAGTTTATTCCATGATAAGTCAAGTATAGCACCATCATGACCTTCACTTGATTTATTAGTATTTGTTTTCTGTAAAAAAAACGAGATGATCATAAAAATTTATATTTGTTTTTGTTGTTATTTCTTTCGACAAACTTTAGAAGCTTTTTTAGATAATTTTGTCTTTTTCTTTTTTGATTTGTTTCCAAATGTATGTAATGGTTCCATTTGATCAACAAGATCAACATCAAATAATTCAATAACACCTTCCATACTTCCTACTGCAAGATAATTAACTAAAATAACTAATAAATAGAAATACGAATAGCTCAGTATTTATAGTCAAACCTGCATTAGCATTATTAACATCATAATCTAACCATGTTAAACATAGTGGCATATTCAACATTAATATATCATGATGTACATAGAGATAACCTTCTTTATCATTGTAAACTAAAAAGAATTTTATTATAAAAAGAAAAATCTTTTTTTATCGTTCATGACACTCACCATAGACTTCAAGACTAGAAGTATCATCTTCAATATGTGCAGAAACAATGAGATTATCGTCTGGTCGAATAAAATAATCTTCCGCATCTGAATCTTCGCCCTAAATGTATTTTATTCGTACAATTAAAAAATAGAAACAAAGAAAAGTTACATCATCTTTTATTTCAAGTAAAGGATCATCACGATTAGATGCATGCATGGCAATAGGACCCACACCGGGTATGCGAACATTATCTTCATCATCTTCTTCTATGAAAAATAATTAATAGAAATGAAAATGTACAGAACATTTTGAATTTTTTTTTAAACTTACGATCATCGAGTTCATCACGTTTTTCAACATCCATATCAACATCTTTTGTTGTCTCGTCCTCATTATGATCACTAGAAAAATTTAAGAAAATATTGTGCCCTAATTTGAATATTTCAATTTACCCGCTTTTATCAATCATGCTATCGAGTTCTTCTTGTTCGGGCATAAACTAAAAAGTTCAAAAGAAATATAGAAGAATTAAACATAAGATTTAAGTACTTTAATTGGAGCAGCTTTAGCGGCTCCACGTTTAATCCAGACGAGGGATGATATAATATCCATCTAGAATACAATCATAGTTACAAATATATTCTTTAGAAAAAACACAAAATTGACAGGTTTTTCATAGAAGTTCTCAACAGTTGAGATTTTCATTAAGACACATAATACCACAAGCATAATTCTTGTCAAAGTTTAACACTTGTTAGATATTATACACCATCAGTTATCTCAGAACATTTGTTCTGACAAGGAATTTATCCGAACTGATACCCACCATTTCAATTCATATTGGACCTACAAGAGCGTCTTGGTGAGACTATTAGAAGTTTAATAAAATTTATTCACATGGGTCATTGGAGATAGGTTACCAAAATATCAAAAAACAGAATTTCGACATAAAATTTTTACCTAACGATAGATTTAATGGGTTACAGAATATCTTGAAAAATTTTGTCCGGAAAGAATGTTATTCTTTGTCGAGATACCGAACTCATGACTAAACTTGATTTTTTCCACATGTATACGACAAACGACATCTTGTTTTTCGAAATTCAGTATCTCAATAGAAAGAATATTATTTTCGGCTGACACTTTCAGGATATTCTACTAGTAATTTGACCAATGTCTAAACAAAATCTAACGTCCAAATACTGTTTTTTTATTTTTTGGTAAACTGACTCTGGATACCCATGTGAATAAACCATTTTAAGATTCTGCTAGTCTTGTCAAGACATCCTTGCAGATAGAATATGTGCTCTAACGGTGGATAACAGTTCGTATGGTTCCTTCGTATCTATAACGACTATATATGAAAGTTTCAAGAATTCTTTTTGCACACATTATCTCAGTCGTATAGATTGTCTGTGAAACTCGAAGTCATATTCATGCAGACTTTCCAAGGACATGAATTAATTCTGTCATTAAACTGATCAAAATAATAAGTAAATTTTGAAACAATACATGAATTTTTTTCACAACGAGAAACGCTTTTATTTTATTGCGTATAATAATATTCATAATAATAAAGAGAAGAAAAAAAAACGACAAAGAAAATCCAAATAAACATCTACATAAAACATGTAAGTGCCCGCAAAAAAAAAATTAAAATAAAATTGACATACGTAGATATGAGTAAAATAAAAGAGATATTCTGAAAGACATATCGTTTCTCTTGTGTTGTTATTTCTTTTTTTTTTTGTCTGCAATAAAATGGAAACTGAGAAAACAAAACTTCTTCATTCATACTTCTGGCTTTCTTTTCGCGCTTATATTGCACTTGGGAAAGGTCAAAAAGAAAACAAGACGAACAAACAACAAAGATTGTACTCAAAATAATCGTCATATTGTCTACAACAATAAATGAGAAACGAAACAAAACAAAACAAAAAATAAATAAATAGGCATACATTCATAAAAGACTTTTCTTTTTCATTCATCATCAAAATTGTCAACTGCATCATCATAATCACTGGTGTCACTACTATTATTACTGCTTGAAGATAATGGATTTGAATTTTGATGATCTCTAAAACAAATGAATAATAGATTAGTAAAAACAAAACTTTTTAAAATAATATATAACAAAAAAATTCGATACGTTATTTGTAGACTCAACTTAAAAACAAGATGTAAGTAAACCAAAACTGTGAAATTGTCATTAAACAAAGAAAGACCGAAATTATTCTTTCTGTATAATTTCTAAGAATACTTAAATAAAAAGAATTATTTGTGTGCATACACATAAGCATCTACTAATTAGCATAAGTTCAAGTTTTTCTTCACATGTTTATTTTTTACTATTTGCTAACTTTTTACTATTAATCATTAACATATATTTTGATTGTTCGAAAAAATTGTACAGAAGAATTAAAATCAAGGTGAATTTTTACACCATCAAATAACGTATATTAATGTTATCGTTTTTATTGTTTAATTTATTTAAAATGTTTTATTAGATAGACGAATACTTTCCATATACCATGATAGACGTTGTTGATATACGATCACAGATTGTATATCCATAGTGTCTCGTCATACTATATGAATTATTTCCTTATTGATTTTCTGGAGGATTAAATAAAAAGATGGCGAAGAAATGTCTCCCAAAATAGATAGAATACAACAATCTTTCTCTGATTAGCAAGAGCAGCTGCATAGAGTTTCGTATTTTAATCCCTTAGAGATTGCGTTTACAGCTTTGTTTTTGGTTGAAGTATTGAATGTTTGTCTTGGATATGCTGATAACATTTTTGATAAAGATTCATTCAGTATTGTATAGATAATAAGATTATGATTTTGTTTTTAACATATTCAATATAAAATTTTATAAAATTTGTCGAATTATTCAAATCATATGATAATATTTCATTATCATAATTTATTTAGAAATTCCATTAATATTCTTATAATCAAAGAATTCAATAGTTGATATATGTAAAAGTATATTTGAGAATTGTTTATTATTGATTGAATAGTATTATCCAAAATGAATCGACACTTTAATTTGCTTGACAATCTCATGCAAGTAAAAGATATTTTTAAATAAAGATCTTTGTTGTATATATTGAGACTTTGATAATCGCTGTTTTTTTTTTCAAAGTCTGACAAACTGTCTTAGTATTTAATAAAAATTCAATATTGATGATTGTTGAGAGAAGATTTACAAAAAAATAGAATTATAAATTTATTGTTGGCTATTCTATTGAGACATTGACATCAAATTTAACTAGATATTTTTTGAAATGATTAATACTATCATTGTCACCTACAGATTTTTCTGTATATAGATTAATTGCAGGCGTATCAAAAGAGATCGATCGAAAGGTTTTTGTTCAGGTTGATCGAACTTTTGTTTTTGTTTTGAAATTAGTGAGAAAAAAATAATAAGATACTGAAACTGCGTTGGAGAAAAACCAAAGCTTTTAAAGATTGATGGTATTCATCCCGTCGTGTTGGGCCAGAAGTCGAACCCAGTCAGGCAGTCATGGCTACGTAGTTCGGCACGTATCTACAGGGTACTATGTTCAGACCTTGGTACCATCAACCATGAAATAATTTTAGTGAAGTCACTAGCAGCTTTTTGTCTCGAATCAACCGTCCGATAGCATGCCAACTACATTATGGCATAGAACTGCTCTTGTGGCTAGTATATATGGAAAGATCAAGTTATCGAGCACGAGAACTCGGCATCTTGTTGGCTTTCTGTTCAGTTCTACAGCTAGTCATAATTGTCGGGAAGATGTATGACTATTGAATCTACTGCTAAGCAGTATACCATACTGTAATGTAGCCGAAAGTTAGGAGTATTCTTTTTTCCAGGTCTAAAACATTTCAATCAATCGGATTTAGGTCCAAAAACGTTGGACTCAATGAACTCTATCCTCGAATCATCAGTGATTAATTGTGTTTGAAAAAATAAAAAAAAAACAACTTATTGTTATGCGCGCGTAATAAGAGAAAATTTAGAAAAAAAAACGTACAAAAGCAACTTACATTTCTATAACATTCTTCGTATTTGTATCAGTTTCATGTTGAATAGTTTTTTCATCCGATGACTTTTCTATTGCCACTTTCGAAAATGATTGTTTTTGATTGTCTTCAAATTCTTTATTAATACTACCTTTAAGTTTAGTTGATTTACGTGATTTCGGTTGTTCACGTTGTTTAATATGTTTTGAATTTGATTTTGAATCAAATGAATTAGCTGTGTTGTTTATTGTTATAGTACTTGTTTGATGATTGGAATTTTCTTGTGTTGATGTAGTTAACGTATTAAACATATCAACTAAACAGATTTGATGTGTTTTTGAATTTGATTTATGTATCAGTTCTTGAGTAGGATCATTTTCGGATTTTTGATTAGTTGTTATCGAATGCGATGTTCGTTGTCCTAAAGTAGGAAAAGCATTTTCATCATCAAGAATATATGGAGCTGTTTCATTTGTAAGTGATTGTTCGATAAAAGATGTTGATGATTCTTCTTTATTTTTATTTTTATGTTTTAAACGTCGATGTTGTTGTTTGGTTTGAATAAAACCATCATTTTTAATATCATTTTTTTCAATATTATTTTCAATTATTGAAGAATTATTATTGATTAATGATTGTGAACGTTGTTGTTGTTGTTGTTCTGGAGAACTATTTTTGGAAGCACGATTTGGTGATTTCGTTGTTATGGTTGTTCCAAGAATCGCCTTTTTAATAGATGATTTTCGTTCATTATTTGTTGATAATTTATGATTAAATGAACGACTTCGATCAGATCGTTGATCTCGAGATTGAAAAACAGAATGTGGAGAAGTAGAACGAGGACGTGAAGAAGATACAATGGTATTCCAAGATGAAGTCGGTCTAAAAATGTGAGTATTTAGAATGATTTTTTTTTCTAATTGTCATTCGCAGTGACTTCCCAAAATTATTCGACCAGGTTTATTTTGAATTTTTTCCACTGCTATAAACGCTAATAAGAATTCAAATAATGATTTCTGTGGAGAATTTTATATTCAATAAGAATTTTCAAAGATGAAAATGATAGTTAGTTTTCAAAGGATACAGTCTCTAAAAAACAAAAATTCAATATTTTCATCTTTTGAATTACCGAGAATGATAGAGAAAATAATTTTCTACAAAATGAAACATCTTCCAAGTCAATACGACAGCTTTTGATCTAGAGGCATCAATCTTATGGAAAGTACAAAAGTTGTTTTGTTCTGCTAGTTCATATAGAAACATAATTTTTGTACCTTCCGTAGGATTGATATACCTCGGTCATAATGCGTTGTAGTGTACGGGAAAATATTGCATTTTATAGAGAATTGTTTGCTCTATCATTCTAAATAATTTAAATGGAAGTTCAGAAGACAAAAACCTTGCGTTTGAATTTTTCAGAGATTCTACCCTTGAAAAACTAGTAATAATTTTTTATGTTCAAAAATTCTTCTTGAACATAAAATTTTCTACAAGAATGACTCTTCGAATTTTCATTTTCGGTAACAATACTGGAAAAAAAATTTGAAAATAAATTTAATCGAATAATTTTCGGAGTTATTATATATTGCATTTACTTTGTATTAGTCGGCGTAATTATTGAAGATGAATTTTTATCAGATTGTTGATTATTAATAGGTAAACTTGGAAAATCTTCTGGTCGAAATTCAAATTGTATTCCATCATCAATAATATGACTTGATTGTTGAAAATCATTTTCATAAAAATCTTTTTCATTATTATAATAATCATGAAAATGATCTTTTCGACGTTCATCATATTGTTGTGATGTACGTGATAAATAACCTCGTGATCTTGATGAATGATAATAATTATTAAAATCATGTTGATGATATGATGATATTCGTTTACTATTTGTTGAATTTCCTCGCCCAGAATTTTGTGTATATGATGAACAATTTCGACGATTATTATAATCATAATATGGATTTCGATTGTTATTATTATTATTATTATTATTATATCCACTACCACCACGATTTCCACCACGAGATGATGGACGATGTATTGAATGATTTGTTCCATGATGTTGACGAAATGACGAAGATCTTTGTTGTTGAGATGAAATTCGATTAGATTTTGTTATCGATGTTGGTTGTTGAAGTGAGAAATTGATTAATGGTTGTTCACAATAATCAACTGGATAATATGTAGATACTTGTTCATTTGTTGAATAAATTATTTGTGGTTCAAGGTAATAGCCAGTTAATGTGACAGAATTTGTTGGATTTGTTATTGGTAAAAGAACAATTTGTGATGTATTACTTGAAGATGTGCTTCCATTAGATGAAGATTGTTGTTGTTGAATATTAGTACATGAATCAATATGAAATTGTTGTTGTTGTGATGGTTGTATATGAAATTCAATTTCAGGAAACTGTATATTATCTGTTAATTTTGAATTTGTTATCATCATTGGATATATTGATTGTACCATTAGTGGTTGTTGATCAGATGAATAAATAGATGCTACTGTATTTTCATCAACATATAATGGAATGCTTGGTGTTGGATTTTGTACTAATGGTACAAATTCTTTTGCTTCAGGTGAAAGACCTGATGATGATGATGCTGTAGTCATATTTTGGTTATTGAGAAAAACAACAAAAAAAATTCTTTTTTATTTGTTTATTGGAAATTACATAATAAACACATATTATTCCAAATAATGAATTAGTTTATTGGAGAATAGACCGCGTGAATAGTAAATAAGATTAGCGGCTTATCTAAAAGTATAAAATGTTTGATGAGAAGACAAACTTTTTGAATTAGATAGATTTCTTTTCTTTTGATTGATCTTTAAATGGAGGAGCAAAACTCATTATGGTATTATATGGATTGACATAAGACGAAAAAAATGAATTAAACTATTTAGAAATATAATTTTTTAAATAGAAAAAACTAAATATTAAACAATTGTTTTATTTTTTAATAAATTAATAATTTAATTTAATTATACATTGATTGTAGCGACACAAAAATATGTTTAGGAATAAAACTGTTCTATGAATTTCATATTTAGAAATCACAGGAATAAAGATATAAATAATATTTATTCATTTTAATCACATTTTTCGCCCACACATTATACTGAATGGTATGACAGTCACACCAATCCTTTTAATGCTTATGCTAATATATGATGAAGAGTTCAACAAAAATTGATGATCGCTATTCTCATACTTTTTTTTCATAGAAAAAAAAAATGCTATTACCACAATCCCTATAGGATTAAAACATGTAACACAATGTCACTGATCTTATTCTTCGCAAAGAAAATGTTTTTGTTCTATAGATTTTTAGGCGTATTTCTTCATCGTCTTTTAACTTAATTCTCAAGAAATGCAATAAGAAACTAATTCATATATTATAACGAGATGTTATTGATATGCAGCCTATGATTGCATATTGATAACGATTGCTACAGTCTATGATGATACTTGACTAGCATCTGTTAGAACTCGTCGACGGTTCAACTTTTTATTTCTATACTTTAACACTTCTTTTAGATCGTATTTTACAAAATAGGATATGGCTTTAGCAAATGTACTTGGATTTAAATCGAATGATGCATTTAATCGATCACTTCAATGTGAAAAAACAGATGATCATATTGATGAATTTTGTCCGAAATTGAACATTGAAAATATAGCTCAATTTATTACTTTACCACCATATGCTGATGTAAGATTTTCATTTATTTGCATTATCTACCTAATGATTTGTTTTTCTTTTTCAAGCCGGCTAAATATTTAAAAATGATCAATGAAAATGTTGATCGTGTTCGAATTCAATTTCTTAAGGGTACAACAACATTAGCATTTAAATTTCGTAATGGTGTTATGGTTGCTGTTGACAGTCGTGCAACTGCCGGCGGTTTTATTGGTTTGTTTTATATAAAAAAAACATATCAATCTAATTAACATTAACATTCTTCTTTCTTTTTTGTAGCATCGGGAGAAGTCAAAAAAATAATTGAAATCAATCCTTATTTATTGGGAACAATGGCCGGTGGTGCTGCCGATTGTGCTTTTTGGGAACGAGTACTTGCACGCCATTGTCGTATCTATGAATTACGTAATAAAGAAAAAATTTCCGTTGCAGCTGCTTCAAAAATTCTCGCAAATATGGTCTTTGAATATCGTGGTATGGGTTTATCAATGGGCACAATGATTATTGGTTGGGATAAACGAGTATGTTTGAATAAAATAAGAAAAAAGAAATTTTTCTTCTCATGATTTTAATTAGGGACCCGGTTTATATATGGTATCTGATGATGGTGAACGTATTAGTGATAATTTATTTTCTGTTGGTAGTGGTTCAATTTATGCATATAGTATTCTTGATGCTAGTTATAAGTAAGTTTTTCGATAGAATTGTTCAATATGATTAAAAAAGATTTCATATATGAAATCTTTTAAAAAGCTTAGTTATACGAGAATATAATTGGATTGCTTTTCTTGATTAAGTTTTACTATTTCAAGTGACTATCAATAGATAAAAATCATCTTATTTTCTTCTTTCATAGATATGAAATGAGTACAGTTGATGCTATTGATCTTGCTCGTCGAGCTATTGTACATGCTGCTCATCGTGATGCAGCTTCAGGCAACATCGTTCGAAGTAATTATTTATCTTTATTATTCAATAATCACATTGGAAATCTTTCATGTTATTTTTTTTTTATTATAGTTTATCATATGAAAGAGACTGGTTGGGAAAAAATTGAAGAAAAAGATACTAATGATTATATGTATCAATTTCGTCAAGATAAAACAATGAATTTCTAAATAAATTCATCAAACATTTAATTCACTAACATTGAACCCCTTTACTGTTATTATTTTTCTTCTTTTATTTCAATCACGAAATGTGAATAAAAGCATACAAAAACTAAAAATATCACCTTTATATACTTTAACAAAACTTTTCTATTTTATTCATCTAAGTGTAATATACAACATTTGTTGAAAATATAAAAGCAATGTATTTTTCACTGTTTTCTCTACAGGGTGACACATAACCTTTGCCTCCCCCTCTATAAAGTAAAGTATCAATGATATCAAAAATGTATTTTATACCAAATTAAAGCGCGTTAAAAACTGAGCTTATTGGTACTAAATAGTAAAGATTTTGANGAACTCTCTACGATGTTTCTGAGCGGAAGATTATGAGTTGAGATCTCGACAATTACTTATGCATCGCAGGTTATTTGCATATGTAGCATAATCGTGAAAAATTTGCAGAAAGAGTTTTGAAAAAAGAAAAATATTCATAGTAAAATTATAGATGTTCTTTATGGATGATCTCAACTGAATATTATTCAACCAAATTAGTTTCGATGAAAATTCTCTATTTTTTTAAAAGAAATCTCTAAGTAAGACATTTTTTATATTAATAACGAGCATCATGTTTTATAAACTGCAAAGAAATTATAATATTTTTGAAAAAAGAACTTATTTTTTTTATTAGAGAAATTATCTTAACTAAATTTAATATTGTCTCTTATGACTACTATGAGTATAATTATGAATCGTTAACATTGAAGATTGACAGCTATCATTTTCATATAAATATGCACCGATATTCCTACGTACACATGATAAACTTCATTATTGTATTAGACAAACAACTTACAGTTATAAACGTAATTAATTAAATCATCATGATTGATAGTCATTAGAATTTTATTAAAACTCTTCAAACTATTAACTAAATAAAACTTCATTTACAAACAAAGTACATATTCTGATCATGATTATATCATTAATATTAAAGAAATACATTTTCTTCGTTATTTTTTTGAGAAGATAGATTAATATTAAATTTTTTTGCTAATCAATAGTTGAATGTAATTTTTTCAATTTATGCTTTATTTTCTTCTAGAATAGTTATTAGATATTTCAATTGATTAGATATGCGAGAAAACATCGAAATCATATAATATGACAAGTGTCTTATTCAACAAATGAAATATTATCAAAAGTTATACAGATACGTTAACTGAATCATTTTGTTTTTCGACATGATTGAGAAGTTATAATCTTTTAAGACAAATATTTTGTTTCTGAAACATTAATGTAATGATCTCATTCATTTTTAGGTCTTGTTATAGCTGCTAATATTGTTATTGTAGTTGTATTACATCGCACTTCATATGGTTGGCGAATGTCTGAAGATTCTAACCAACAAGAGTCTAATTCAAGCTTTTGCAAAACAAATTTATCAAAAGCATCACTTCGTCAAAGTTGTTCCGGTAGTTCAACAACTACAGCAGCTGAATTAGTATTAGCTGCAAAACGACGCACAAATATACAAGTTACACGTATGCTTTTAGCTGTTACATTATCATTAATTATATTTAATATTCCTAATACAATATTTTTTGTTTCTGTTAAAATTTATGATATAAGAAAAATATTAGGTGGACGTCAATGTTTCGAGATTAGTGACCGCGATATAGTATTATATAAACTTGGATTTTATTCAGATGTTATACAAGATATATTGTCGGATTTACCCCATGTAGTTAATTTTTTCTTATATTATTTAGCCGGGAAAAGATTTCGAAGTATATTTCTAAATGAATTTCATCAATTACTTGTTGATTTTCATTTCATTAAACAAAATCAAAGACGTCGTACATATGGAGCATCTATTTTGAATCCGAATTTAACACCAAGTACAGGTTATTATCAAACTCTAGGACGTGTATCATCAAAAACACCTCCATCAAAAGTAAGACAGAGTTTTAAAGTTGTGTTTANTTAGTAATCGTCAATTTTTAGCAATTTCTCCGATGAATCACTACCAAGCATTGGTTAAAAATGCTAACAATATCACTTTTCTGCATTGAATACATAACTCATATTATTTTGCTTAGCTAATGTGTAAAGACTACTAAATCATGACATTGAAATATACTTTCTCAATAAGTGCATTAATCTTTTAATTATTATTAACCAGAAAGACAAATTTTATTCAACAGATCATATTTCTAATATGATTACATTTCTCCTCTCAAGTTTATATTAAATAAGTGCCTATCATGAATACTTTTCTTACTATTTTGAAAACTCAAATGAGAATTCTATTAATGACTTTGAATAAAAAAAATAACAATTCGAACCTCACCTCTGAAATTGTCGTAAAAAAACTGATAACGTTATTCAATGTCAGCGTTACCATTGTAATTATTTTTACCGTTCCATGACTTTCACAACAAGTATCGAAATATCAATTTGGTAAATATCAGAATCTTATAGAAATCTTAATTTGTTTAAAATTCAGCTAAGAAGAAATGAATTCGTCAAACACAACGATAGATATTTGAGTTTTGGACATAGATAACGATAGGAGGTCTTCACTTTCATATTATTATACTATAAGTTATGTTCTTATCATTGAATTAGTAAAAAATAGTTTTCAGTGTTGCATTTTAGAACAATTTTTCAGCTTTTCATATAGCAGTAATGATTGCCTTCTTCTTTTTGACGAAGATGATTAATTTTTTTTCTGTTTACTCATTTGCCTTAAATTAATAATTACAAAATCATGAATGACGAATTTTCTGTAGAATGTTCATTTTCTTTTCTTTCTCTTTACAATGTGATTCATATTTCACCAATACAGAGTAAATTCATCAAATTGTTTCGTATTAAAGTCATAAATCATATTTATTTAAATAAATCTCTGACGAAATTACTTACGATTCTTTTTTATTATGACACAGATAGTCATTGATAATATTACAATCTTAGAATTTGCATTCGATTAGTACACACTATGCTTCTTAGCAATTCTTTTATCAGTTTATAATTCACTCTGCTCCTTTGCTTCAATTTCCATCATAAAGAGAATCGTTTTTTCACTAATATTGAGTTCTAAAAATTGGATTTTGTTTTCGTTTTCTTTCCAACATAAACAAATTAGTGAAGCATAAAATATAATGATTAATCATGGAAATACAGTATATCCTAGATTATTAGAAACGTATTATTATCGATAATTGATATTAATAAAAACATTTACTTAACGTTTGAATCTCATTTACTTATTCAGTTGTTTGAATATATCAAAATCTATTTTGAGTTATCTATTGCTAAAATTCAGAAATACACTTTAATAGAGTTTTGTAAATTTCATGTTAGAATTGTTTATTTACTTTGTCTTTAAGTTTTTCTTTCATTAATATGTTGCTAAGCTTTTAAATAGATAGGATATTGACGTCATCAATCGTGACAGTTTCCAAGGAAGAAGCTTATAAGTAACGACATATTTTGATACGTAGCATGTTGGTGCATCAATAAAGAAAGGTTCCAATTAGGTATAGACATCTATCGTATACCAAAATCTATCTACATTTCCTTCTTTTTCGAGATACCATTGGCAGTATCGATGCCTTCACTCGGATGTAAAAAGCTTAAAATGAATCTGTGCCGATGAAATTAGTCAAATACAAAAAAATGAGTCACTGGAAAAAAAATCATATATATATATATATATATATACTTGTTCTTGTTCTTACTACAGCTACAGTTTGAGATTAGTGTTGATTCATTACTCTACTTCTCCAAATAGATTTCTTTTCTGTAAAGTATTACTCATGGCAACGATAAAAGAAACACATGATTCATTTGGAGGGCTGAAGATAAGCAATAAGGATACTATTAATTTAAGTTTATTTTGTGAATTATGTAAATTGTTATTGCTTGAACCAATACAACTCTTATGTTGTGGTACTCGTTTATGTCGATGGTGTTCAAACAAAGGCTTACCAGATAGGTAATTATTTCTAAGTTAGATTTGAATATTTTTCATGTTATAGAATATGTTTATATTTAGTGAACCATTTACGTGCTTATTTTGTAATATCAAACAAGCAAAAAAGCAGGTATAATAATTCGTTATTTGTTCGTATGAAAACGGATTTCATTATTAAATAGGCACATGTAGACCGAGGAGCTGAGCGAGAATTAAAGATGATTAAAGTTGAATGTTATTCATGTTCTTGGAATGGACTATACAATGATTATAAAGTATTTTCTTTCTTTTCGGAATCTCAATAATGACTTCTAAATATATGAAAAATTGTTTAACTCTTAGGAGCATCTAGGGCAACAACATGCATATTTACAATGTAGTGATTGTCATGAAGATTTTTTCTCAGTAAATTTATATGAAGAACATCGACAAGAAATCTGTACATATCGATCTATACCATGTGGATTACCTGGCTGTATCGAACACGTCTGTTCTATTGTCATATTGAATAGTTTCGGAACATTTTGTCTTTGTTATTAGATAAAATGGTCTGAAATAGCAATACACTACTTAAGTGACAAACATCAGAAAATATTACTTAAAATCATTACTCAACATATTGTTTCAAAAAATCATTTAGCTAATAATCCCAATTGCTCGACAACTACATTTGACGTTGCTTGTAATATGGAACAAGAATTTACTACTGTTAATGAAAAAATTAATATTTTTTTAACAGAAGTAGATACTTATTTGAACAATTCTACACAATTGAAGTCTGAACATGATCAAATAAAGGTCACATATGATAGTTTAATTCCGCAAAGAAATACAGTAAGAAAAATATTAAAAGACGATAATGAAAAAATTAATCAACATATACAGGATCAAAATGAAATGGAAAAAAAAATAGATGATATTAAACATTTACAACCCTTCACGAAAAACTTATCATTAGATAGCGATAGTACAATAACATTTTCTTTTATTAAACATTCTCACGAAATGAATGTACCATTTTCAATGTACTCATCCAAATTTAAAACATCACAATTTGGATATAATTTTATGCTTCGTGTATGCTCAACTATTATATCTGAAAATGAAAATCAAGAATATTTATCAATTTACATAACATTACTTCGCGGAGAATTTGATCCAATTCTTTTATATCCATTTACTTATAATATATATCTATGTTTATGTGATCAATCAAAACAAAAAAAACATATTGTATCAATAATAAAACCTGATGCAAATTTATTATCATTTGTTCATCCAACAAGCGAGAAGAATGATGAAGTTGGTATAATTAAGTTTTGTCCATTGAATTTTCTCAAAAATGTAGAAAATAATTATCTAAAAGATGGTGTCTTTTTCATTCGAATATTTATGGACTTTATGAATACTGGATCAAGTCCGTTTACTTGACAGTTAAAATATATAACATTAAGCTATAAATTTCCACTCTAGATGTTTTTCATTATAATTCTACTAAGAACTTTTTTGACATGTTAACTCTTTTATTCAAAACAAAACAAACAGACTGATATAGCTAAAATTTACAATAAGAGTTGTATTTTGTACAATAAACGTAGTGTACTGTATGTTTAGAGCTTGAGCCTTTTTCTTGTTTTTCTATATTCTATTAAATATTCCTGTCATTTTCCAACAAGGTTTTACATTATCTGAATGAAAATCAAGCTTAAAATTTAAAATCTTAAAATCTTCATTTATAGTTTCAATTGTTTCTTCATCAATATTATCTAAAGGAAATGAAATATCAATATCAAGAGTTCTTAATTGAGGTGTATATATATCAAACAATTGAATCCATATATCACTTTTAAGTAAATCTATATGATATTGTTTAGAAGGAGAAAAAGAACATTGTAATTTACATTGGCGTAAAAATGGGGCATTACGAAATATACTAAGAAAAATATGTGTTTTTAAACCATCTAATCGAAAATTAAGTTTACGAATTGATGTAAAATAAAGTTGAGAAGAACGAATTTCTAATGAACTAAAACTTGAACGAAATTGAAAATAATGTAAATTAGGTGAATAGTAAAGTATTGATTGAAGAGTTTTCCAATTACAATAAACAGTTAAGATAAGACATTGAATATTTGTTGATTGAAATGTTGATGGAAAATTTAATTGATCATATAATTCAACCATTTTTAAACTTGATTTTGATTCATGTAATTCAAAATGTTTTAATCTTCGTAATTGAAATGCACATTCAAGTACTCGTTTTCCTATATTTGATGATATACTTGGTATATCTTGATTTCGTATATATAGTGAAAGATGTTCAAGATAACAAGGAGGCCAATTATTATTATTTTCAAAAAGCAATAATGGATTATCAACATCACGAAGTACAAGTGAACGAAGTGCAGTAAATTGAAATATTGATGGATTATATGGTCGAGTTGGAACATTAAGTGAAACAACTTGTGTTAATTTAATATGTGGTAAAATCCATCGAATAAAATAAGCATTATTTGATCGAACATGTAATCGAACACGACCATTAACTAATAAAGCTGGTAAACAAGGAATAAGAAGACAAAATGAATAAAATATTTCATGAACATTAAAATAAGATAAAATTTCAATAACTACATCAATACATAAGTCATGAAATGTCGTAATTATAGTCATAGTTTTTTTTTTAAATATAAAATGTTTATTTTGAAATTTATCTGGCAGAATGCGTTGTCATGTTTATTGTTTTGTAATAAATGCCTTGTCATTCTTGCTTTCAAATGGGTTGACTTGACAAACATGTGATTTTCTTTTTCTGTTCTTTTTTTTGTAAGGTGTATAAGAATAAAACGAGAAGCGATGTTGGTCAGACTAGGATAAGGATGCCGGTAGTGTAATACACCTCGTCTACTTCGCTCACCCTCGAAAATTTTCGGTTTTCCTTGATGAAACCAAATAAATTTCTTTTGCATTCTTTTTTAGAAAAAAAAAAACTTCATCCGTCCCAAAAAACTCACCACCTCTCCCTTCCCCGACGTCGGATGTTTCGAGCCATTGCTGACGAGAAAGAGCAAAAAAAATTGTTGCTATTCTGTCATAAACAAAAAAAAACCTTAACGATTCTTTTTCATGCCTTGATCAATGATCTCAAATAAAGACACGGTATTGAATATTAGTTAAACAATCAATGATAATGAATTTATTACAGCGTAAAACTCATTGTCAGATTCTTTTAAAAAAATATGTTAATACTTTTTATTTTATTATCATTCATGCTCTTTTTGATAATATGACATTTTGTATGAAAATTGCTTTCTACAAATATTTCTTTTTACTAAACATCATCATACTTTATTTGGAGTACTGCTTTTTGCACTTAAATCTTTTCTACTTTGACCTAATAACATTTGTCTTTGACGAGTTCTTTCACATACAGAAGTTCTTACTTTTGCAAAGTTATCTTTGATTTAATTTAATGCATGTTTCAATTGCTTATTAGTTTAATTAATCAAAACAAACAAACAAGTTATATATTTTCAAAAGAACAAGCTTATTCAAACTGTAAAAAGAAACCTAAGAATATTTTCATCAAGTAGATAGATCAACATTCTGTTTAAATAATATTTCATTTTATTCATGCAATGTTTCTTTTTTACTTTTATTCTGATTGTTTTCGTGTGCATTGTGTCCTTTAAAAACAAACGTATAATACGTAGATGTATTGTCAAGAAAAGAACAATGTTATTCTGTTAAAATACAAAATACACCTACGTCTACCTTTTATATTTTCAATGTAAGGTATTGACCTTATATCAAGTTCATAGGATCGGAAGAATTAAGATCAATACCATATCATGAAATTTTTAAATACAAAAATAAAGAAATTGAAAAAAAAAAAACTAATTTGCTGCCTTTCAAAAATGAATTAACAACAATACAAAAACAAACTAATATGGTCAACATCTATATGAATCTGAAATGTGAAACTGGAACAATTTCGTCAAGAATAAAATGAATAAGAAATCAAAATTGTTTACTTTTACAACAGAATGACTTGAAATAAAATCTAAATTCGAAAAACAAAATGTCACATTATCAAAACAAAACGTTATATTCTATGTTAATAATGAATATTTTGAAAAGATATTTAAAACAAAAAATAATGAAGAACTAATATCATATTTTCAAGATCTCTTCTCTCAGCAATGGTAATTAGACAAAGATCTGAAAGATAGAAATATATTTAATAATTATGATGAGATCTTATTTGACCAAAGTTTAGAACATTTTCGTAGTGTTATTAGTGGACTATTGATTTTGATAATGTATTACTTCGACAAAATTTAATAATTAAAGTTGAATTTTATAAAATAGATAATCTTATTGATTAAAAATGAATAATGATTCGATATTTAAAGCAGAAGATCTTTATACTAATACAAGAATTTTATTTTTCTGAGTGTTGAGAGCAATTAAATAAATTATTTGTTTATCACAATCAATAATGGAAATTAATCTATCGTGCAAATCATGATGAATATATAACTAGGTTCTTTTATCAATTTTGTGGTAGCTGATATCCAACAATGACTATGATTCGTTTTCGAAATTGATGTATTTTTCGTAGATTTAACAAAACAAAAAGGATCATATTAATGAGAGTTTATTTTATTTTTCGTAGTTTTAAATAAGTACAAACTAAAAAATATGAGTTCATATCTTCATCTATCTTGATAATATACATAAACAAACATTTATCTATTTGAACTACTTGATAATTTCTCAGATTTTTATATGTATTGCATAAATGCAATTGATTATTCAATAATAGTAGTATTTGCTACAGCTAAATTTGGCATCATGGACGATGTACTGTTAATTTTAACAGTTGTTAATTCAAGAATTTTCTTTGTAACTACTTTGAGTCGAGTAGCCAACTGTGTTTTTAAATTTGATGAATTGGTTTTCTTTCCCATGACAACTACCGATGTATTATCTAAAATACATCGGTCACATTATTTTTTATGAAGCAAAAAGAAAAAAACGCTGTTATTTACTTTCGTTTGATAAAGTTTTTGGACGTGGCCAATAAAGTGGAGAAAGACCAGTGATTATAGCAATAATAGCCAGTACCGTAATGATACTGACTAAAAGAATAACACTTTGTTTGAAAGTCAACATGTATTTATTATCTGCATATATATTCACTGTCAATGAAACGAAGAAAAAAGAAAAAGAAGATTCATTGTTGTTCAATAGTATTTAGTAACTAAACAATGTTCTTTATTTATGCATGATTATGTCTCTATTCTTTAAACGTAAAACTATGTTTGTCAACAGATTAAAAGCATAAATTCAGTTTGAAACATTCGAAAAAAGAAAGGACAAATCCTTGATGACCTTTCAACAAATTTTTTCTTTGTTTTGATAATTACATTGCAATCGAAGAAGATTATGTTACGTACAATAAAACAAATCATCTGCGAATATTCGAATAATTTCAGATTCGATAATATAATTTCATATAATTGAAACTTAAGTTTCAAATATGCTTCAGCTTTTGCGACATATTTACAACATAATAGATGTTCGAGTCTACGCAATTGCGAATCTAAGAAATCAGCGAAGAGATGGCAGTCGTGTTGAAAAACTAGTTTTCCGAAGCTATTCAAGGTAGCATAACTTATTTGGTGTTGTTTCTGCTGAAGAAAAATAAAAAGAAATTTCGCTAACTGGTGAAGACCCCTGCTTTAACGCCATCGAAATTTGAAATTGAGTCCACAATTAGTTCTTTGTTGCAGAATTTGAAAGGAAATTTACGAAAGTCTTGCCAATTGTGATATATGCGCATCCTGATTCTTCTTTCTTGAAGCAACAGTATATTCGAAAAAAACATCTGAAATCACTTTTAGAGAAATTCTTTACCAAATAAAAATTTGATATGTAAATCAACAATACGAATAATTTGACTTCAACGAGGATTCATAGTAAAAAAATGTATCACATCTAATAAATAAGTTTTTTCAACTCATAATATGTTATTTTAAACATCAATATAAGAAGAGATTCAATTGTTGCTGTATAATGTTAAATAAAAATAACTATTGTTAACATATGATCAATCATATGCACTTAGATAATTGACAGTTACTAATAAATATATCTACAGTTGAGAGATATCTTATTTTACTAATTAAGAAAAATGATTAACCATTATTGATACAAGTAATCGTCGTTGTACTTCGATCATCCAGAAAAATTGGACTATGTATTCGTCGAATATGAAATGAATCGATAGTATTGAGAAGTTCAAGCCTTTCGCTATTGATATTTACAGCAGATCCATTATCTGATTTCACATTATATGAATTTTTTTTGACAGCTATAATTTGTCACCAAGTATGAATCATTTATGAAAGCATGATTAAAAAAAAGTCAGATTTTTAGTATTAAATCAATTGGTTTGAGTTGAATACAGTTGTACTGTTACTAAATAATTATATCTATCAGTCATAAGATGTCGGAGGAACAATGTATATACAAAAGTTCATGCGCTGTTGTTAAATTTATCTAGTAAAATATTAAGTTCTGCGATACAGTATTAACTCTAGTAAGAAAGGATTCATTGTAGAAAATAAAGACAACCTCGAGATATGAATTAATTTTATATTTATCTAAAAATGTATAAAACAACTGTCATATATTATTTTGAACAAGATTAAGACTAATATAAAATGACATTACCAATAAGCAGAGATATTCATTTTATTTATCCCTATTGATTGTTTTACTGTTCCATTTATATCGAGGTTTAAGAATGGCATTTTCAATGAATGGAATTCTTGAATACAAACAATCGCAAAACTTGGAAAAAAAAGGATTATAAATGTAGGAAACATCATGATAAGTTTCCACTGATCTATATATGTTACTGAAAAGATTCTTTTATTTGTTCAAAGTGAATAGAAAATAAATCCTTAGATCATACCAAAATATTATGACATAAAAGATTTATGTCGATATAATGTCCATGAAAGGAATTTCCATATTCTTCTTTAACACTCAGTTATAATTTAAATAAAAAACTGGAAATAAAAATAAAAATGAGACTAGTAGTTAAAAATATTAATCATGGAATCTATGATTCATTTTCAATTCAATTACTTCTCATGTTAATAAATCATCAAACAATATGAAGGTTGGTCAGAAAAAATCTTACACCTTTCATCTATCTTTTATTTCTATTCGAAAACTTGAAAAATATCATTATTATATTTCGTTAGCAAATACATATATGTAAAATCATTCTCTAAAGCTTTCGCTATGTACAAGGTCATCGAATAAGTCCGATTGTTGCTATTGAACATCCAATATCAGCTTATTTTCCGTCTAATTTCGAAAGACAGAGAACATTCAGTAGCATTTCCTAGAAGAAAGTTTTCATTTTCGTTCACAATAGTGCTCGTTACTTGCTTCTAATAGAGAAATTATAGTCAATTTTGCTGACAAACGATATTAAAAAGAAAAAGAAATATGATCACATGCATCGTGTATTATTAATCTTTTCATTTAAGCTCATGAAAATATACAAATAAAATAAAAAAAAATTTTTACTTATAAACTGATATGAATCAAAACAAAATGAACATATAGAAAAAATAAGCTACTTATTATGCAGTGGATGGTACTTTCGAAGCATGAGAGTATTTTTCTGATGATCAGATTTGTTTCAACAAATCTAGTTTATGTAAGAGATATTCCTCAAATTGTGTGAAATTGAAATAAATTTTCGTCTTAGCATTCAATTGAGCGCAAGTAAGATCGTTTTTCATTTATTTTGACGATTGTTTCACAAAAACTTTACCAGACTAAAAATAGATTCACAAAAAGCGTTTGAAACTGATGCAGAAAAAGCAAATTGAACTAATTTTTGTAAATGAGATATATTATCAACGTTAAGAAAATAGGCCCACAAATGGTCGCATGTGGCTAACGCATATTTCATCTATTCTTTGTGGAAGCTAACATCTCATTATAATGTTAGATCGTTTTTCTTGTTGGTTAAATATGTCGCTAAGAATCTAGATGAAGAAAAAACAAAAATCAGTAGAAAATCATGGAAAATAGCTCTTAGTGGTACCAGGACAAAGGTTTAAGAACGAGGATTTTCCTGTACAAATCAGAAAATTTGATTATCCTGGTTTAGAGGTTTTCTTTGCGTAAATATTTATTAATCTCCTTCAGAAAATTTTGTACATCAAAGTTCAATTCTACAAACCTTTGAAAACGATGTTCAATGCATTCTGATATACTCTTTCAGATAAGACTACTCTGTCGCTGTGATACAATCAACTTGCTTTTTCTTTGAGGGTCATGCTTTCTGAAAATGGTATATGATATCAATCAAAACATATCAAGTGATAAAGCATTTTCAGTACAATGAAAAGATAGCCCATGCTTGATAGTTTTCATGATAAAAATATTTCTGCAATAATGGAAACATACAGCAAAGTATAGCTCAATAAGATTGTCCCAATGTAGTTGAGCATCTACACTTGCAACATCTTTATCTCTCGACTGACTTATTCGTTAGAAAAAAAATAATCAGTTTAATCGAATCAAGTTGATCCTGTCTTAGGAACAATATCTGCTAAGAACATGAACTCGCAACGCATATCAACTTTCTGTAGAAACTAAGTAAAAGGATTCCATTTCTTAGGAACGAGAACTCTGACATCTCTATTATCCATTTCAAAAGACAATTAGAGTGGGTATTTTCGAAATTACTTGTGACAGAAACAAGATAGAAATCTGCAAGTTTTACTGTTTAAAAGTTGAGATGAAACTGCATTGAATCGTATAGACCAGAGTTTTCTGATAAATTTTCTCAGGATCTGCCATCAGGTTTATTAAAAAACGAAAGGATGCGTAATGTAAAAGTTTTAAAATTTTTAATTTTCAGGAGTGTACTAGAATCATTAATTAACGATCTATAAATTATGTAAGTTCGATGTTGTAAGGTTTAGCCAATTATGAGTTATAAACATTTTACTACGTATTATTGGCAGATTTTTTCACAAAAAATTGTGTTTTGCTCTAAGTTTTGGACGAAAAATCCACCTCAAAAACCTATTTAAAAGCCTCTATTCTTTAAAAAACTTAGCGGAAGATCCTGAAAAAACTGGTCAGAAAAATCTGGTATACGTATATGATTCGATGCAGCTTCATCTTCTCTTATTAATGGTGAAAATCGCAGATCTCTACTTTATTCCTATCAAAAATGATTCCAAAAATATTCACCCTTCTTTTATTTCGACATTGCCAATAGTTGTAAGATGATTATGCTGTATGACATACTTCAAAAAGTTATTCGTTCAATTCAATTCATTATTTGCTACTGTCTCATCATTGATTGGTCACAATTATTGACTCTAATTTGTTGCCTATTCTTTGTTTCATTAATGATTTTAATCTTAAAACTTTGTTTTAGATTTTCTTCAAGTTTGTATCTTTTATTCAATGATATATAGATGTATATTTATATGTGACTTTTCTTTATCTGTACAATTAAACACAAAGAAAAAAAGAAGAAGAACAGAACCGGATTAAAAAAAAGTTAATTTTCAAGTAAATCAATATTTTGTTCACTATCATCAGATAAATCTTCATCCTTTTCATATGATTGTTCATCTTCCATATCATCTTCATCATCAACTTCAACTTCTTCATTATTTTTTGAAAATAATTTAACATCTAAAATAAAACCGTATGCCGTCTAATCATTATATTTCATTTATCAAAAATTAAACTTACCGGAATGATGTAAAGCAGCAGTATGTAAATTGAGCTCAAATTTATGTTCAAATACTTCATGACATTTATGACATGTATAAGAACCGTGGCCATTATTATTATTATTGTTGTTATTATTATTATTAGTTGTTGTTGTTTTTGTCATCATAGGCACCACTAATGAATGAGTACGTTGATGTGCATGAAGATTTGATGCTCGATTAAATGCTTTTGAACAAATACCACATGCATAAGGTTTAGCAGCTGTATGCGTTAATTTATGTCTTGTTAAATTTCCTGGTTGACGAAAAGCTCGATCACATATTTCACATACAAACGGTTTTTCACCTGTATGAATACGCTAGAAAATAAATAAATCCTTAGTTGAGATAAGTTATTCTTCAATCATCATCATCATCAATATTGGTGTTAATCTGTCAAAACGTTTGTTATACAAGCCGACATACGTTCACACTACCGTTAGTGGACATATGTCACGATTACATCAAACGTTCTTTTTAGAGTATAACTAGCGAATTCCACGTGCTAAGATATATATATTTTTGTTAACACAAAATCAATGTTGATAGAAATGGATAAGTAGTGAAGAAAAAAACTTTCTTTTTTTATTTTATTTTGTGCTATTAATTAAAACGGAAGTAACAAACGTGTTCTTTTCTTTAACATTAATCGGTTAAATTTTTTATTGGTTAAAATAAAAAGAATCGTATTGGATAAAAAAGAAAAGAGTTTGTTGTATTTTTTTTACCTTATGAGTAACTAATGTGTTACTTCTTGAAAATGCTCTTGAACAAATATCACATTTATATTTTTTTAAATTTTTTGATTTTGTATTATTTGTTGCTGAATGTGTTTGTGTTGTATTTCCATTTGATGTTATTGGTCGTCGAATAAAATCCATTAATGTAGCTGGAGATGGAACGAGAACATTATTATTTGTAATTGTATATTGATGATAATGTGTTGCTGATGGTGATGATGATTTTTTATTGTTTGTATTTGTTGATACTTTGGGTTGTAGAGAAGATGATGATGATGGTGATGCTGATGGTAATGAGGAAAGTGGTGGTGGAAGAAGTCCAGGAGGTCGAAGATTAGATAAATATGGATGAAATAATGGTAATGTATGCCAATAATTAGGAGGTGACAATGTTGGTACAAATGGTAAAGTTTGAGAAAGAAATGGACGTAACAAAGCAAGATGTGCTTGAAAATCTGATGTTGAAGAAATTAATGGTGATAAAAATGGATTTGGAATAGAAGTTTTAGTTGTATGATGTTCATCCGAAGAAATTGATGTACCATTTTTAGTTGCTTTTTCATTGATTTTATCAGCTTGATCAGGTTTAATAGATGATGATATCCGACGAAATGCAGATTGATTTGATTCAGAAAAATGATGACCATTAGATGATTTTTCATCTTTGGTAATTGGACTTTTTGAATCTAAATTAAGAATTTAGAAAATAAAAAGTTTCAATAGTGTTTTCTTTTTACATACTATTCATATCGGCTTCTTTGGCTATAATACTCGATTGAAATTGATTGATACACAACTAATTTCTTTTTTCTTCTTCTTCTCTCCGTACCGTGATTTCTCTTTTTATGTCAATTCGTTTACCTGTTGGCTAAAAATGTTTCTTTTTTTTTCTTCTTCTCCTTTTCCCGGAAAATATACGTATTACGTGTCGCATGCACGCCTGCCACCCTATCACGTACATATATGGTATGCATGTTCATCAAAGAAAAGCGCGACCGACTGTTACAATATTGAAAAACACGTCGTCATCGAGAATTGTAATTAACAGACTAGAGAAAAAGAGAGGGAAGGGAAAAAAAAACATAGAGATGAAAGAAAGGATTTTAGTTTTATATACGTATGACTCTTGGGATCACCCAGTAGGACATCGTCATTGGATGGCCATGATCGTGTTCAATTGAATGAAGAATATTGTTGACATGGTATAATGCCGCTTAATCTACTTGTTCGTGTTCAAACGGGAGATGACGACTTGTTGACTTCGTCAGTAATAGTGTCGGGCTAATCAGGCGAAATAAGTTAAAACAACTTTGTTTTATGTTTCTATGATGTCGTTTATAAGAAATATTTAAAAATAAGGATATTAGATAATCCGTATTTGAGATTGATGAAGAAAAAAAAAGAAGAAAACGTTGAATTGATTACTAAGATTTAGTCGATTTTTAAACGAGTTTTGAAGAGTTGAGAAAAAAATAGCAATTAGTAAATCAATGTTTGTCTCAATGACCGATTTAACTCATAATTGACTTGTTATGCAACAACGATAAATCAATAATATCAAAGAAAGAAAAATTATGAAAATAAGTCAAATCAATATGATCGAATTCAAATGTAACATGTATCAGTTTTCTATTCTTGAATAGTATTCAACATTTGCAAGAAATTTTTTCTATCCAACAAATAGGAATTGAGTCTGATAATGTTAATCTCTCTGCTATAATTCTCTTTCAAAGAAAACGAAAAATAGAAGACATATTTTCTTCAATAACAGTATCTTGGACGGATATGACTTTTCGCAACCGGATCCAGACAGCTGTACTCGATACTCAACCGAAGCTAATCGATATCCGACAGATATTTTCATAGTCATTGTACAATCTTCAAATTTTTACTTTATATGAAAAAGTATACTATTTAGTTTTTTTCATAAACAGCAACAACAAAAGAGATCATCTCAAATTTCACAAAAAAGCAAGTGACTCAGGATTCATTTGATGTCTTTCTGCTTGTAAAGTCTGATCAATTTTCCTGAGTACAGTTTTTGATTGTTGTTGATGATGCTAGGGCAGAACGCAGTGTTGGTACCAAATGTCATAATTATGGGCACATACATGAATACTTTTTCCATCATCATAATACATGTTCGCCTTTTTGATAATTTATTTTCCTGTTCATGCATTCAGTTCCTTCGACACATATAGTTCATCATCATTTGTAGATGAATTTTCATTAAAAACGAATTCTGTTAGTAAAACAATATCGCTTTCTACTACTATGTCCTGTTTTCAAGTACAATAAATTTCTCGAATCGGTTTTCATTCATATAATTTAAAATAAACTAGCAGTTTGAAATTGTAAAAATATTTTAAAATATCGAAATTTCATTAATTGTCGGGTTGGGTGCCAGGTATATAAACCCATGTTGCAGAACATTAATTGTCATTAATGGGTAATTGAAAAATAATTATACAAAATGTTTATTCACGTTTAAGCCTTTTAAAGGAGCTTGCAAGTGTATGAATACATTAGGTTAGAGTCTAAATTAAATATTATTTTCGAATATTTCTCTTAGACTTATGATTTAAGAATTATGAGTCGAATTTTTGAAACCGCAAACATTAAGTTTGAACAGAGAAAATTCATGATTTTTGCAGAAATAATCTCCTTTAATGCATCTATTATGTTACTGATATTTTTAAGGATAGAATTAAAGACAAGAATGTTCTGTGCAAAATAATATAAGATTCAAGAACTCTAGAATAATCATTCAGGAATAACAAAGTTCACATTGTAAGTCTATTTTTCAATAGAAATTGAGATAATTGCCTAAATTAGCACTTTATTCCTTACCTGAAATATTCACTGTTGACGAATAATTTGCAGCAAACTAATCATTAGTATACCATTTTACAGAAAAATGTCTCCTCGGTCATTCTCAGTATTTGAAATAATTTTCGCTTCTATCTAGGTTAATTTTTGCAGCATTCGAAATTCATCCAAGCTGAATTTATAGGCCTCTAACAGGTCGGCTCATAACCTCTGAAAAAACGCCCTAGAAAGTTTTTGAACCCATGTTCGAAAACGACACAAATCCTCTTTGAGAAACTGAAAAGCGAAAAAAAACTTTTGTCTTTTTACAGAGTGCATAAAAAAGTTTTCGATGGGGAAGGGTAACACTGTAATTTCAAAAAGCATTAACTATAAACTTTAACCCAAATTAAAGCACGTCGAAAATGGAATTCACCAATACTAAATATTAAACGTTAGAGCAAAGTTTTTAGTATTGAATGCAGAAAACTCAGAAAACTTTACGCTATATCAGCAGAGAAAAATTCTTTTCGCCAGGCAGTTCAAATTAGATCTCATTTAAAATGATGAATATCGAAAAGTACTAGATACATGGCCTGGAAATATTGGAACACAATCGTATTGATGAAGAAACTCTAAAAACACATATTTCATGTTTTGATATACTGATTATTGATTATGTTTATCAAGTCTTAAGACATAAAAGTTATTTTTTAATAGTCATTATTTTAAATAATATCTGTAGTTTGCACTGCTTCACTAAGGGAATTTTGCTCTGTTGATACGACGTAAAAATTTAAGAATTTTCTGCATACAGCACTGAAAAGATAATATCTAAAACTTATTATTTAGTATTGATGAAAAAACCGTTTTCAACGCGCTTTAATTCTATATAAAACTTGTTGTTGATGTTATTTGAAATCACAGCTTTACATCCCTGGACAAATAATTTCACGTACTTTGCACTATTTTATCATTCGTTAATAATCACGATTTTGCTTTTAGTACTTTAAACAATGTCAATCTCCTTAATGTCAAGCATTCTGCTAATATGAACTTTATTTTATGATTTAGAATGTTTGCTGATCATATCACGATATGAAGCTTTCTTGTATATATATTATTTAGATTAAATCTTGACATTGTTAAAATGTCACTAGAACATGACAAATAATTATTTAAGCAGGTGGTTAAATACGGCGTTTCCATGTTTTGGAAAGTCATATATTTGCATAGAAATGTCTGGGTAAGTTCACTTGCCATATATATATATAAAGAGAAGCAGCATAACAGTTTTTATTAGTTATTCAACCACGAATGGCTTCTTATATGCTTCTGTTGGTATTTGCTGTGATTTTATTATCAATTGATGCTCGTTTATTTCACAAAACATGGTCCAAAATCAAGGATTACAATACCATAAGTGATATTAATGATATTTATAGTGAAACCGATCGATTCTTGGATAAACAAGAAAACTCAAAACGAAAATTGCCTAAATTCGGTCGACTTTCAGATTTGTTCTATTTTCGAGAGTAAGTAGAAAATATGTCAAATTCGTTCTTATGATTTCATTTTATATTTCTTACTTATAGTGATCTCACTAATACAAATGAATATGAACAGCAGAGTAATAAATTAAATTATTATGATCAATATGAACAGCCAACAGAGAATGATTATGATTATAATAGATTTAAAAAAACGAAATATTTTTTTAATTAACTCTTAAAGGTATCTCGCTCTTTTTTTGCATAATTTTTGGTACTCAAAAATGTTACAACCTATCAAGCTGAATTTTTTACCACCGATAGAGGACCAGAACTAAGGGGACACGTGCTTGGCAAAAAAATTTTCAAGTGAATTTTTTCTAGGAAATGCTGGTTTTCCATAGGATTACATTCTGATAGATTACGATCTCCATCAAAGGCAACTATAAGCTTCGTAGTCATTTGTGACTTCAAAACGGGATATGTGTAGGTTTATAGAGGAAAGCCTCCTCTACCTAATGGTGTATGTACTATCAAGTTCTATTAAGTGTCATTGAGATATCTAAAGAGGGCACCAGACCTTCACTGTGTTCTATTGTGCCCGGGACGAATGTGGTGCCCGCTGCTAATATCTCAACGATACGATACGTTAGATATATGAAGTCTATACATATCCTGATCTGGGGTCAAAACCTTAGAGCTACCTTCGATGAGAGTCGTAATGTACTAGGATATGATCCTATGGAAATCTAGAGTTTCCCAACAAAAATTCACTTCAAAGTTTTTTTCCTTCAACATGTTTCCTTATTTTTAGTGTAAAAATATCAGCTTGATCAGTTGTACCGTCTTCGACAATCAGAAATGATCACAAACAGATCCTGAGATATCTTTGAGCTGATGGTTTAAAGAGTGACGATCGCTTTATTTCTTATATTGACTAATTAATTATTTTATTGCTTGAATATTTTTATTTTATTTTGTTTTTGACTAATAAATATGTTTTGTTTTAATTTCGATATTTTCCTTTTACCGTACAATAATACTACATGATGTTATATATACAATATAAATATGAATGAAAACTTTATTAGTAATATTTTATTTAATTATTTCTTTTTGTCTGTAATAAATGTATTTCAATCTGGTTGGTTGAAAACACCAGCAGGTATAACATTCATGCCTTTTGTTTTTATGAAGAAATAATCTGCTATCCAAGCTGGAAGAATAGAAAGTGGAAAAAAGAACAGACTTGATTGCCATCCAGGTCGATATCGTATACGTGGAGCACTATTCATAACAGCATGACGAATTGCTTTAATAACTTTTTGAGGATTTTCAGCATTTAAAATAAAAGGATTCTTTTCTAATTTTCGAATATAACCATGAAGAAAATCTTCACCCCATCGATTTCTTACTTCATCAGAAAGGTCAGCCCATAAACTACGACATGCATGTTCATATCCTTCAATTAATGGTGTTCTCATAAAGCCCGGTTCAATAATCGATACATGTAAATCCCATGTATACATTTCTCGACGTAAAGAATCCGAAAAAGCTTCTAATGCAAATTTTGAACTTGCATATGCTGCCATACCAGATGTAGCCATATAACCAGAAACTGAACACATATTAACTACACGTGATCCACGTCGAGTTATAAGTAATGGTAAAAATTTTTTTGTCATTGAAATAGTACCAAAAAAATTTACTTCCATTATTTCACGTATAAAATCAACTGATGTCCAATCAATAAAACCGCTTTTGCCAATGCCTGCATTATTTACTAATGCATGAAGTGTCTGAGTTTTTTTTATAACAATATCATATGCAGCATCTATATCTTGCTGTTGTGTTATATCAAGACAAAAAACTGTAGCTCGACTTGACAGTTGACTGGTAATACGTTCTTCATTATCCGGATCATATACACCAGCTAGTACATGAAAACCTTGTTTATCAAGGTCAATAGCTAACGCATGACCAAAACCTGAATCACATCCACTTATTAAAACATATTTGCCATGCGGATTTATATTTGGTGGTGGAAATAAATGTTGATATAATCGATAGCCTACATAAAGGATTAATGCTATACCAACAGCAACAAACACGGTCGTCATTCTATGTTAGGAGTAACTGAAAAAGAAAAATGAAGAAAAAAAAAAGAAGATAAATGTCGATGTTTGATTATTTGCGTTTTTACTTTAGTGTGTAGAGTCCAAAGTGCCGATCTGTATAGTAATAGTGACTATCATAACGCATCTACCTGTCCAATACAGAAAAAGCCTTGTTTTTTTTCGTTCTCGTCTGTTTTTTACTCGTTCTCTTTTTTACTCGTTCTCTTTTTTATTGCAAACGTACATATATTTCATGGTTGAATTCAGTACGACACACTACTGAAATACTGCTAAATAACAGAAAAATAAAATAAAAGTAATGATTAATTACATTCATTTTCAAGACACGGTTGGTTAGTTTAAATATAATCGTAATTTAATATAAATTATTTACGTAAAAAATGCCTATTTTTCAAGTATATAAAATATTTTCATATTGATTTTATCATGAATTGAATATATTTATTGTTTTTTTTAAGCAATCATCTTCTAGACTCTCAAAAGAGATTTTACATTATACAATAATACAGAAAAAAGAAAAGATATTTCATAAATTTATTCAAGATCAACAGAATTTGCTTCATTTTCATCTTCCGTATAGATGTTTTCCGCCTAAAATTTATTAGAAAAAGGTTTTTTTTTGAAACTATAGAATAATAATAATTATTACCATTTGCCAAACTTGCATGATATTATCTTCTGATACTGAACAAATAACCCATGGTTCAGTTGGATTCCATGAAAAATCAGATATTTTAGCTGTATGACCACCATGAATAAACTACAATAAAAAACAAGATCTTCGTTTTTTTTTCTAATCATTAATTTTATTCTTACTAATAATTCAGGTGGACCATCTTCAGCATCATCACTTGTTTGTTCTTCACCAATTTTACTTTATAAAAAAAAAATCATTTTTAGAAGAAAATTTTTTTTAAAGGCTTATACCTTAAATCCCAAACATGTAATCGTCGATCAGTACCACTTGATGCAAGTATTGTTTCATTATGATGTGACCATTGAACTTGAAATATTTCATCTTTATGTGATTCAAATGTGTGTAATTTTAATTTAAGATTACGAAGGTCCCAAAGTGCAACGGTCTATAAATAGAATCTTCTTTTTTTCTAACTCTATGAAACAACAAACAAACAAACTTTATCAGCTGAACCAGTTGCTAAAATATATTCTGAAAATGGATTAAATGATAAACAATTAACTTCAGCACCATGTGCATCAACAACATGAGATGGTTTTGTATAATTTGATGAACGTGTATCCCAACTATAAAATAAGAAAAAAAACAGTTGTTAGCATAATTTCTGTAAGATTAAAATATGAAACATGATGTAGTTGCTCTTATTAATTCTAGAAAGATTGCTTTATTCTATTTATTTTGGAACACGTTTTTTCACCTTCCTTTTATTTATTCGTTCAGAACTGGATTAAGAAAGTAGTTCATATATTATAACTAGACGTTCTTGATAGACCGTATATCAACAACATTTCTCACGGTTCGTATCGGAGGAGGGAACAGTAGACAGCCAAGTCACAAACTCGATTTCTAAGGTTCGAAATTAAGTTGTAGCTGTTATAGATCTGCACTTAGCTGCGCCGTGAGTTTCGATTGCAAGCGAATAGTCATCTTGCAGTAGCTATCATAAAGTAGGTAAAATAGGTGAATATCACTAAGAAGACCCTATAGATAAAATTTATGTTTCAAATTGAAGTTCTTTTTATATTATACAGTTATTCAACGTTATATATTAAAAATGTATATCAAGATTTTAGGACTTTCTGAAGTTCTTTCTGTTGCACTAAAGCTAAAAAGCTATTCGTAATATACCAAAACCTAACGACTGATGAATAATACAATTTTTTCGCTGGCTTTTTCCAAGATTTTTATTATAATTTTTATTTAACATCGGATAGAGCATGTCATCATACAAATTCGTTGAATACGGATCCTAGTCCATATGAAGATATATCATTACAGATGTAACCTTCAACATAGATACGTCCTCATTGACTTCGACTATGATTAGTAATCTTTTAGATTGGTAAAACTTCAAATAAATAATACAAACTCAAGCATATAAATTCTCAAAGTTTTTATATTGATTGTTTGGTTCTAAAGACAATCTATAGATAGTTTCTAACTTTGGGGTTACTATTAGCAAATATTGATAGCTCAAGAGGAAGTTTTTCCATATGCTAAATCGATTTTGAATCGAGACTATACTATATCGATGAGTACTAACGAGCAATAAAATAATCTAATTAGAATCAGTTAAGTTTAATGATGCTTGTTCTGACGAAATCGTATTGTTCAGCAAAACTCTGTAGTCTCATCAGCTCAATTTGAAAATTGACTTTCGTATTTACAATAAACATAACGTACATCATCAATTTGCAATCATCACCAACTGAACCAAATAAAGTTTCATGAAATAAATGCCAAGCAACATCTTCAACAACAGCTTGATGCCCAGAAAAAATAGCTAATGGATCAACAAATTTTCCTTCTGTTGGTGCTTTTTCAATATTCCATAAACATATTGTATGATCATCCGATGCTGATAGAATATTTCCACTAGCATTTGGATTCCATGAAAGACCATAACCTTCTTTTGTATGTCCACGTAAACGTAATTCTGGACATGCCTCAGCACTTAATGCCATTAATTGTTCTTTTGGTAAATTAGATAATTTTGTATAATTAAATATTAATACTTCAGCTGATGGAGATTTTGTTGCAATAAGTGACGGGTTTTGTGGCATATAACGAGCACGATTAACTTCACCATCATGATTTATTTTTAATTCAATTTCAATTTTCGCATTAAATAAACCAAAACCACCAAATTCTATAGATATATATATAGATTTTTGCTTATATTTTAATTGAAATTCATTATATACCTCCTCGTTCAGATTCATATTGTGTTGAATCAGTTGTTGTACCTTCTTTTGGAATTTGTACACATGCAATTACTAAATGATTTTGTTCATCCGATGTATGAGTACCAAGAATAAGACGATGAGTTGTATAATCTTTTCCATCTTCAGGTCTGAAAAACAAACCAATGTCTTTTATTTTTATATAGAGTTGCATTTGAGTAGATTATAAGAAGAATTACAATTAAAATACATCTAGGTGAGATAATAATGTGTTCCAATTTGGTTCAAAGATTGGATAAACTTTTATTAATGAATTTCAATAGTTCGTAAAAAGGAGAAGAGTCGTGATATAGTTTGTTCATGCGTGTGTTAGGTAGAGATTTGCATCGGAATCAACTAAATATCTCATTAAGATATCAAATTTCACACAAGAACATTTTTTTGAATTGTAAGTTTAATTCGTTGGTATTCATTATACATTTCCCAAACATAAGATCTCTGAAAAACCAAAACTCAACTTTTTCACCTCTATTTGAATTCTTATTAGCATTTACGATAGGAAAAAAATTTAGTTGAGTAATTTTCAAAGTCACTGTACACAGAAAACGAGTTTTATCGTTGATATACATATGTTTTAAAAAAATAATATTTTAAACAAAAATCTCTTATTCTTATTTATTTCTTCAGTTGATATATGTTTTTTACAACCGGATTCGATACACTCGATTAAAACTTTGTAATAATATTATAATGTGTTTTCTTTTTACTTTAGCATGAACTTCATGAAGAGATATGAAACCTACTTCGATGTATATGGTAACCATTGCACAGTAAGCGAAGGCCATTCAAGAGCATGAGTCATGATTAAATCATAGAGAAATGCTGAATTTTTCTTCCAAATTTTATAATCTTCATTTATTTGACGTTCTTCATTTAAAATATCATCGCCTAAAAGATAAAAAAATGTTTTTTTTTTGTTATTTTTATTTCATTTGACAAACCATCTGCCATTGTGGGATAACCGGGAAAGTTTGTTTGAGAAAGATACAAATTTAATTCAATCTAAAAAATCAAAGAATCATTTGCTTGTTTATCAAATATATAAAAAAAGACGAAAACAACAAAATTTATTATTTCAAGCCACCAGTTTGAGATCCGAAACCTGGTACTGGTTCTTTTTGAAAATCAATTTTTACTGCATGATCACGATTTGGACTAAAAGAATAAATTGATTTAAAGAAGACTTATCAAAAAATATTACTCAGCGGGCTGATTTGGGTTTATAATATCAGTTTTAGCACCCGGTGGAGCAGATCTAAAACATTCACATTAAATTTAGCGATTTTATTCAAAACGCTTACGTTTGAGGATCTGGTTTTCCAGGACCTGTAATTTTTCCAACCATTGTATCTTTCGGTCCTGCAGAAAAGACATACAATGAAATGAAATTATATTACATAAATCTACCACTAAACATTCCACCAGTTGGATCTAAATCTTTCGACATTTTTATTTGAATAATCTAAAATTATTCGTATAAAATATAAAACACTCATTTCTTTCTTCCAGGTCAATGTTTTATATACAGCATGGGAACAGAGTCTGTCGGGTTGACCTCGGAAACTTTGAATCCGAGGGCTCTAGTGAAGGTCAAGCCTCTCCGAAGATCAAATTTGTCTTTCTGGAAGTTCTGGTTATCGTATCACGTATTGTCTGTGGCCCAAAAATTAGATGTTCGCCATTCGGAAGAGAAAGTCTAGAGGCAGAACTGTTCTAGATTGTTAAGAAGAAAAAGAAGTGCATATGTTGATAAACATAAAAGATATCATTTGTATATAAGGATTGGAATTCACTTCATGAAATAAAATGATTTAATATCAAATAGATATAAAGATCAATAAATTAAATATTAACAAAAAAAATTATATACACTCGCAGAGTAATATTAAGCAATTGATGATTGGCTAATAATGTAATTATTGTCCTCATTGACATTATTATAGTCAATAAGCCTAATTTTTCATCCTCTTAAGTTACAAATAGAAAGATAATTCATATTGCAAACTTATCGACAGGTATCTACAATTGAAAATTCATAAAAATTAATTATTCAGATTGAAAATTTACCAATACCTCATCGACTTTGAATAGTTTTAAATTATTATTATTTTTTTTAAACAAATTCTATGTTATCTATTTATTGTTAAAAACTATATTAAACTCGACATCATTAAATAACGATAAGAAAAAAATATATTGAAAAATAGATAATAGATTATGTTCTATAATAAAATTACGAATAAAAGCAATTTCAAAATTAAACAAAGAAATAAATAGTCAAAAGAATGAATGCTAGTTTCTATTGTCCAATCTTATTTTAGGAAACAGATGACGTTCGATTACAGTTGATATGTCAACCAATGAAAAAAAAAAATTGAAAACCATTCTTGATTTCATTCAAACTATTTTCTTTCATGTTTGTTTTTTTTTTCGTTCTCTATAGATTATTGCTTTCTATTATTACCATAAAACCTCAAAAGAATCGTTTCCACCTTATTATTTACAATAAAAATTTATTAATATTTTGCTTTTTTCACACCAAGCTATGAATTTTAATTAATAGAATATAGAAAAAAATATTGCTAACTAGCAATACAAGTATGACTGTACATATTGTACTTTTCCATTATAAGCAATAAATATAAAAAAATTTATTCATTATCGAATTGAATATTTCGAAGCATCATACAAAAAAGTTGTTTGATTGTCATACATTAGAGTCCATCGGATTGGTCCCAGACCGGAGTATGAAAACTTTGAGTCCGACAGGCTCCTCCATACCGTATGGTACTTTAAAAAGTATTTGTTGATATATCTTTACAAGACAAATTTTCCTTACTAATGAAATATAGTCCTGAACTTTTGCCATGAGATATGTATTGTGCAAATATTTATTATGTGATAAAAGAAAAATTCACAATGGAAACAAAAGCTATGAAAAGGATAGAAAATACAAGAAGGAGCAAGCTATATTTTAATTAGTTTGTAAAACACTAATGAATATAACAATTGCTACAATTGAATAAATATGATCCAGTTATTCTTTGTCTAACAGTGTAATCTGACAGTGTTAGGTAACAGAATTATTTGCTTGGGAGTCATTTGTTTTCTGTAACATGTTTGTCAATATTCTATCAGCGCATATTTACCTTGTCAATAAAAAAAACGTGCTGATGAAATCAAAAGACATGTCGACTGAATATTTTTTTAATTAAATGAAAATTACCTCTATAACATTTGCAACAAAATATGTATCACATATTAAATAACCTTGATAAAATATTGAAACGAGGATGACACCAATCAGATTAATAATAGCATTTTTGAGAGTCACGTTTCTACTTTTATTAATAATCAGCATTTATGTATATACATTGAATAATGCATAAGATCTACGTAGTTACTGCTATTGAAATAGCTAGATGAACAAAAATTGCTGAAGTCAATGGTTTATCAAGTTTTTGTAAAAACAAAAAAAAGCAAAAATGAAATTCTATACAACGTCTAAAGAAAATTAGCACAAAAATACGATGATAAGCAAGTATACGTGTGCTTTTCTGTTTTTAATAAGGACAATAGTTGATCACCAAGTATTAATTGAAAGAAGCAAAACAATCAATATGGAGTGTGACAATAGTAGTCTTCACTGAATAGTTATTTTATTTTACAGAAGACAACTAATTTTTATAATAAAAGGATAGTATAGTCTAGTCCTCAAATATCGATAGAATAAGTAATGAAACATAATTGCATTTTGAACTAGTCTTGCGATAAAGTGAAGATTGATTTTTTCACAATGTTTTCTGTTATTATTATTTGTTTTTTATTTTAATTCTTATAATATTACTTATATGATTATTAATCTTTCATCAGTATTAACTATATACATATTACATATGACTAAACAAATGTTATTAATCATTAAAAATTAGAATACACAATTAAGAAAAAATGAACTAGATTATTACAGTGCATTAAGTATTTTCTCGATTCGTAGTGGAATTCTCTTCAATTAGCATGGGTGTCTTCTTTTCGTTATTGATGATGACAAATCGTTGTTTTGCTTTTAAAATAGACGCACAACAAAACCTAATATTTACGATTTCTTTCTTAAATATGACAGTTATAATCTTCTAAACGGCTATTTTAGTTTTGCTTTTAGTAAGTAGACTGTTTGTCATTGAAATAATCAATTAGTGTGAATTAGATTAAATACAATTGGAATAGATGTTGAGTGACAATGATTAGAGCAAGAAAATAATATAGCACAAACATTAAGTTGCATTAAGTTGTTGCTTTGTATAAAGTTTCAGTATTCACAATATTCTCTAGAATTATGACGCTTTGCACTCTCTATTAACAAAGTTTTATTATAATGAAACTTAAAATTGTCATCTATGTGACACTGAAAACATGAACTTAAATATTTCTTTCGGAGGAAGGTTCCTAGATAAGACTTACTAATAGAACTGAAACTTTGATCACTAGTAGGTTCCGTGGAAATTAGAATGTCCTAAAAAGTTCAACCCGAAAGGATGTGTTACTGTTGAGATATTGAATGTTGAAAACACTGAACTTTCTTACCTGAGTATTATAAGGTCTACGAGACCTGCCTATGAAGAAAATTTCAGATTGAAATGTCGTACTTTGATTTTTTTTTTCATAAATGCCTTCCAGAGATAAAACATTCAGTAAAATTGTAATAACTTAGGAGGAAAAACAGATGGAAACGAATTCTTATAGATATCTACTAGTCTTGCAGGAGCCTACGAATGGATAAAATGTCAGTTCTATTGGCACGTCAAATTTACGAGCGTTCTCTCGTTAAATGAAAATAATCTAAAATCATTTGCCTTTTAACTATGAGAGTTCAGAAAATATTATGATAAATAAATTAAGCTTACTTTTTGATTATCAATCCACTACATTCATCACTTGTACAATTTATATTTGTACTGTCTAAAAAAGAATTTCGATAAATCAATCGAAGCACATGCGACATCTAGTGATTCCATCAAGTTTTCAGTTGATTCAGTTTTTCACATGAGTACTAGGATTCTTTAAAACAGATAATATTATTTTGTCTATACATCCATAATGAAAATAAAATTATACCATCAAAAATCATTCGTTAAATCTTTATACAGCATAAATAGCTCATAAATTGATCATTGCTTGTTTCAACAATTATTTATTTTCGATAGGAGTAATGTTATGAATAAGTGCATACTGTGATATGTCTATCTTTGAATTTATTTTCCTTCGAATAGTAAAAAATGACAATGATTAACTAATACCGTATATGTATATATACATGGAAGATATAAGAGATTATCGAATGTTTATTATGGAAATAAGATATAAGCAAAAGAGACAAAAAAAAAAAGAGAAAAGATTATCCCTGTGATTCTAACTGACATATCAAATGTTCATTACATTTCTTTTGTTGTTTTTTGAAATATCTGAATAAAAAGAAAGGGAAGAGTTTTGTTTTAATCTTGATCTTTTCGACCATATTTGAGAATTTTAACAAATTCTTGATAATCAAATAAACCATTTTTAATTGGTGCTTCTTTAAATAATTCATCAACTTCTTCATCACTATATCGATCACCAATTGTCATTAATAATTCTCGCAAACGTTCTTCAGAAATTTTACCTGAACCATCTTCATCTAATGACATGAATGCATTTTTAATTACATCTTCAGGATCAGTCCCCGTTAATTTTTCACCAAATAATGTTAAAAACATAGTAAAATTTATATCACCTGGTGCTTCACGTATCATTGCGTCAACTTCAGCATCAGTGACTAATTTACCTAGAAAAAAGGATTATTTTAATAGAAATAAATTTAACAAAATTTGATCATACCTAATGAAGCAAACATATCTTTAAGATCATCGCCACTAATAAAACCATCCTAAAAACAAACAGACAGAATGATAAACAAAAAAATAAAATAAATCAATAAATTCAGTATACTCGATCATGATCGATTATATTGAAAGCTTCTTTATATTCTTGAATTTGAGATTGATCAAACATGGCAAATATATTTGAAGTAGCGCGTTGTTGACGCTTTTTTGGTGGTTTAGCTTTAGCTCGTGACGCCATTGAAAATTTCGATAAAGAAAAGTGAAAGTTTGCACGAAATGAATAAATTTATACGAGACAATCAATAGAATTTATCTAAAAAAGAAAAACAACATTCTTCACTTGCCTAGGCAAACATCATATTGTTTGAATCAGTGCATTTTTTTTTTTTCTTTCTTCTTTTCTTTCTACCTACCCTTACATTATTTTTACATAGGTCATCTCCCTGACCTACCATCATTGATCGATACTCGATACTTAATACCTTACTCAATTGGTTATATGAGCAAATGTAAGAGAAAAATATTGAACACGTGACTCGTGTGTTTGTATTCCAAAATGACAAAGAAATAATTCAGGAACAACAAAGAACTGCTGTCATCAACGAAACAACAGGCATGTTTCTGAGTGTAAGACAAAAAAATAGGACAAAACTATATAAAGAAAAAAAAAGAAGTTATACAGGAAAACACAAGAAACAACTGCACATACTTCAGGGTCATGTCACCAAAAAAAAAAAAGAGAGAACAAAAAATCTATTAGCAATTAAAGATTTAACACATGAGCCAGAGAAGATAAAAGATGGTATCAATGTTCTATCCTAATACGATTAGACTATATAGAAATAGAACAAACGGGTAGGGAATTATCGTAATAGAATGATAATTAAAGTTCTATTATTGATCTTTTTTTACACATCTGTTTTTATCCACATGGAAAAAAGATCACCGTTGGACAATAGATTTTGAAAAAAATGATATCTTCTATTTTCCTTCCAATTCATCTAATTCACTATTTCGTGGTGAAACTAAAATAAACAAAGAACATAATCATTTCATATATTTCAATATCAATATATTATCTTTCATGCAAACAGCAAACGCGAAATTAATTATATTTTTTATTCAATACATAAACAACCAAAAAACAAATAAAAGAAAATTACCTGTTATTTTTTAGAAAATAAAATTATATTAGTAAAATTGGAATGTTTCTTTTTCAGTATTAGAAAAAAAAGCCAAACACAGAAAATTGAGATAAAAAAAAACATAATACAAGAATTTTAAAAAAAAGCCAATCATCACAAATCCAGATTTTTATGATGAGCAGTTGTATATGTCGTTGTATTCGAAAGCGGATGGTGAGTAAAACCACTCCAAGAATTAAAGATAGGTGAATAACTAAGAAGTACTCCATAAACAGTCCATAATATAAATAAACTTAGCACACCATGCAACAAGCCTTTATTTGTTTCTGTTTCTGCAAGGAAAAAAACAGCAAACATAAGGAACAAAGGGTCACAATAAAATGCCAAATACATGCATGAAATTTTACTTACTATCGATATAACGTCGTGCTATAAATTTTAATGTTTCATCAAGTAATACAACCGGAAAAGATATTTTTAAAACAGCAAACCATTCTTCCCATGTTAAAGGACAAATTTGAAATACGGTCTAAAAGAAAATCTTTTTTTCTTATTTCAAAATTTAATTGTCGTAACAATTAACTTACGTTAAACATAGGAATATAAAGAATCATCATATGTAATGACATGGATAAAGCAATAGCAAATAAAAGATATTTATTATACCATGGGGGCATTTTAATAAGTGACTGATTTTCAGATAAACTAAAGAAAAATCAAAGTAATAACTTCAGTAAAAACAATTTTTGTTTAAATAATAAACCTATTAAGTGCATTTAACATTTCAATAGTAACAAGTACTGAAAGTGCCAATGTCATTGGATGTGGATCATCGAAGACATCACAATCAATATCTTCCCATTCTTTACCACCAGCACGACATTTAAAATGGTGTTTCTATATATATAAAATCATTTCAGTGATATTACAAATTTCAAGAGGCTTTTGTTTTTCATTTGAAAAAAAAAAGAACGAAAGAGAAAACAAAGCTTGCATCAAATCGAACTCATATTCATTCAAGAAAATATTGCAAATCCTTCTCATAAAGAAAAATTAACTAAAAGTTAAGCATAGCAAACCAAGCGAAGCAAAATATGTTATATATTTCAACAGCTGTAAGAACTCATATCAAACGCACACGAATAGGAAAAGGATCTATGGGTATATATCATTCAATATCATAATATCTTTTTTTTCACGAAATCTCACCAACTGCGTCCATGACAACAGCGGCCCATCGTGATACGACACGTACCACCTGCAATATTAGATTATTTTTTCTTTTATGAATTCACTTCACTCAAAGGGATCAAACATCTTACCAGCATGAGGCACCAACAGTGCCTGCTCCTACATATGCTATAAAAAAAAAGAAAAAAAATTAGTTAAATCAAGTACACACCAAATGCCAATAAGAAAGTTTAGGACCATTGGTCGCATCCATCGACCACCATGTTGCGCTGCATACCACAGAGAAGCCAACGTATGCTAACATGAGAGACAGAAAAAATTTAACATTCAGTTTTTGTATTTTGATTTATCCTCCAAAATTTGATTAGTCAGCTGAAAAAAATAGTTTTCATGCAAAACAAAGCAATGATCAACTTACTTCCAACAGCCATATATCGAAAAAATAACCATGGTGTTATTAATGATTCTTTCGGGTTACGTGGTGGACGGTCCATAATATCCAAATCAGGTGGATTAAAACCAAGTGCTGTTGCTGGTAAACCATCAGTTACTAAATTAACCCAAAGTAATTGAACTGGAATTAATGATTCGGGTAAACCAAGTGCAGCTGTTAAAAAGATACAGACGACCTAAATTATAAAAAAAAAACACAAATGCATTTCCCTTTTCCCTTTTCATCCATTTATTATCTTTACTTCTCCAATATTTGATGATATCAAATAACGAATAAATTGTTTCATGTTATTATAAATAGCTCGACCTTCTTCAACAGCAGCGACAATCGATGAAAAATTATCATCAGCTAAAACCATTTCTGCGGCTGTTTTAGCAACAGCTGTACCAGAACCCATTGCAATACCAATTTCGGCTTTTTTCAAAGCGGGTGCATCATTAACACCATCGCCTGTCATTGCTGTTATTTCACCATGTGATTGTAAATATTCAACAATCTTGGATTTATGTGCTGGATCAACACGTGCAAACATTTTTGCATGACGACAAGCTTCGGATTGTTCTTCAGTTGAAAGGTCATCGAATTCACGACCACTAAATGCTTTACCTATTTTCAAAAAACAAAACCAGAATAATTCGTTGCACATGATTATAACAATTACCTCTTGTATTTTGATTTTCTTTAAAGATACCAATACGACGACAAATAGCTTCAGCTGTATTTTTATTATCACCAGTGATCATAATAACACGAATACCAGCATCACGACATCGAGCAATAGCATCAACAACTTCAGCACGTGGTGGATCAAGCATACCAACAACACCAACAAATGTTATATTAGTCTAGAAAAAAAAAAACAAATATTCATTTTCCTACCATTGATATATTAAAAAAACATCGGCATACTTCATAGTTAACAAATTTTTTTGCATCTTCTAAATCCATATCTTCTCTTCGTAGTGGATTATCAATAGTACCTAATGCTAAACAACGTAATGTATCACGACCTGTACCATATTGTTGAACTAATTTCATAGCTTCTTGTTTAATTTGTGATGTCATGGGTAACTTTTGTGTTCCACATCGAATATGTGTACATCGATCAATAACAGATTCAGGTGCACCTTTAACAAACATTTTCGCTGATGATTGATTACTACTACTTGAAGCTTTTGCTGCTGTTGTCACAAAAGCTGACATTGATTTTCGATCACGTGAAAATTCTAATGTAAATTCTTTACGATATTTTTGACGAATGATTGTATTTGATGCCATAGCTAATTCTTGTGGTGATAAACGAGATTTATCAGTGTTGAATACATTCATTTTTTCAACAAGAACAGTTAAGGCTGTTTCAGTTGCTTCACCAACTTTTTCAAAAATTTTTTTTGTCTATTAAAAGAAATAAAATCAATAAATGAAATGAATAGAAAACATATCACTAACTTCATTATAATCTAATGATGAATCATTACATAATGCTGCACATTCAGCTAATTCAACTAAACCACTACGATCCGAACAATTAAATTTGGCTCCATTGAAAAGAACGTCGCCTTTAGGTTCATAAGTTGAACCAGTTATTTCGAATTGATCAATTTGTAGGTCGTTTGCATCGGCTTTTGCAAATATGAACATCTAATCATCACAAGAAGCAAGACAATTACGAATAAACTAAAAATAAGAGAAAAACATACTCGATGAACAGACATTTGATTTGTTGTTAATGTTCCTGTTTTATCCGAACAAATAACTGATGTACAGCCAAGTGTTTCAACAGATGGTAATGAACGAACAATAGCATTCTTTTTTGCCATTCGACGTGTTCCTAATGCAAGACAAGTCGTAATGACAGCTGGTAAACCCTCAGGAATTGCAGCAACAGCTAAAAAAAACAATTTGTAAATTAATTTCTTTTTTTCAAGATTTAAATTCAAATCAACAAACCAAGAGCAACTGCAATCTTAAAATAATAAATAGCGCCACGAAACCATGAACCACCATGAACAGGATCGTTGAAATGGCCAATATTAATAGCCCATACAGCCACACAAATAATTGAAATGACCTTAATAGATAAGAGAAAGAAAAAGTGTTTAGGTTTTGTTTTTTAATGAATTGTATCTCATACTTTAGATAATTGTTCTCCAAATTCATCTAATTTTTGTTGTAATGGTGTTTTTTCTTCTTCGGTATCGGCCATTTCCGATCGAATTTTACCTTAAATTAAAAAAAAAACTCAAGTATTTTTCTTTTATTCTGATTTCTCTTACCTATTTCCGTATTCAAACCAGTACCAACAACAACACCTCGACATTTTCCTGTTGCAATATTTGTTCCCTAGAATAATTTAAAAACAAAAAAATAAATAAAACTTACTACAAATTTTATGAATTAATTTTCTTACAGAAAAAAGAACATTCTTTTTATCTTGATTAACAGCACGTGGATCTGGTACAGGATCAGTATGTTTAATAACTGATACACTTTCACCAGTTAATAATGATTGATCAACACGAAGTGTTGTTGAATAAATTGTTGTTATACGAACATCAGCTGGTACTTTATCTCCAATAGCTACTTCAACAATATCACCCGGTACAAGATCACGAGCTTTAATTCGTTGAATTTGTCCTGGTCGATTTTGTCGTACAACTTTAGCTATTTCAGGTTCATATTCTTTTAATGCTTCAATAGCACTTTCTGCATTACGTTCCTATTTTATATTATTTTATGCTCAGAATATTAGACAAATAAAAGATTTAAACTTACTTGCCAAACACCAACAGTTGCATTGGCAATAAGAATAAGAAGAATGACAAGGGGTTCTACGAAAGCTGCTACAAGACTATCTTCTTCTTTATGTTCTTCAAATAAAGCTAATACCTATTCGAGAAAGAAAAACAATTAAGTAATTAAATTGACCCAAAAAGAAAAAAAAAGATGTATCAACATACAAATGAAATGCAAGCAGCAGCAAGTAAAATTTTGACTAGAAGATCGTCGAATTGTTCTAAGATAAGTTTCCATAGTGGTTTACCTTCTTCGGCTGGGAGTTCTGGATGAAGAAAAAAAATCACGCCAATTACTTAAATTATATTTACACAATGATTTTGTTTTCTCCTTTACCGTTAGGTCCATATCTTTCAAGATCACGTTTAACTCGTTCTTCAGAGAGACCTTTAGTCTCTTCAACATTATAGAAGGCAGCAACGTCTTCTTTTGTTTTCGTCCATGGGTAGTCGATAACTGTCATTGAAATGGACGAACGACGAGCCACGCTTGGCCGATGCATGGCAATCTAGAATTTACAAACAGCATATCATAGAGTAAAAACGTAGGAGGTGTTTCAATCGATCTTGTATCTAACATAGCTTGAAACTGTAATATTTCAATCTATGTCACTTTTCTTTAAACGTCAACAACATATACACAAGTGTGTACTATGTTGACATTAATGCGTTTTTTTCTTTGTCCCATCGAATAATCATCGATGCATTACATTACTGGTTGGCTTGGCTGATTGAAGAACGATCGAAATTTTCGATCAACTCCAATCATTGCATCTGATCGATAGAAACAATCTAATTTTTTTTCCTCGTCAACGAATAAAAAGTTAGAAAGATATTGAAAGATTCTTTCAATTTGAAATAAAATCAATTTAATATAGAGGTCGCTAAACATAACGGAATCTTACCTTGACGTTAAAGTGTTCGATACGGTTGATTAAGTTGTTTTGATATATACCAAAAAATAATATTCAATGAATGAAACGTAATGAAAAAATATCGTATAGTATTATTCATTTTTTTTTATTTCTCTGTCGACTATAGATAATATTTTATGACAACTTATTGACTAGAAAGAAATCATAAACGCGTGACTGTACAAGATCATAATCTTATATTTACTGTTGTCTTGCTACGATAATAATCTACATAAACGGTTGGCCAAAAGTTAATTTTCAAGGTGGAAAAAAAAGTGTATATCTTAGTTAAGCTTGAATCAAATAGACTTATTTTTTCATTGACTATAAAGGGGATCATTTATTATTTATATTCATAAGAGACATTATGAAGCGTACCTTTTTGGAGTATTATTTTTGACATGAATATAAACATGCACTCTTTAACTAGCTATGAAAACAAACAATATTTTACACATAATCTATTTATAAATTTCAGTTATTCATAATTAGAATTTGTGCAGAAGTCTTATAACAAAAAGATGTCTACCTATGCTAGAAATTCACGATATTTGATTATCAAATGTTTCACTCTGAATATGTGATAGCATTAATGATGGTATTCGTCACTATCAAAAAGTTTTCCGTCTTCTAATATTATATCATATTAGAAGATGATATGTATTTCCGTAGTGCGGAATACCTGTTAAACGAATAATACAATTTGCAATAAGAAAAAGTAACTGTCTCGAATATTAATTGATAATATTGCGTTGTGTTTATTGATGGTCACAAGGACAAACATATTGATTATTTTTTCAAACTTATTAAGATCAGTAGTCTACAATTCATATCAAAATGAATATTTCTGAAGAATCGATTTCATCATTTTTCTTATGACTATAAACTATATGAGTATTCTTTTATTAGCAGTAAAAAAATCAGTCTATGTCAATGGCACATCTAGAATGTTTATAATGGGAGGCGATCATGATCATAAAACGTGTTTCGAAACTCATTAGAAGTATTATCAGCTCATTTTTAAGCCTTTTCTGAGAGGAAAAGAGCCGAGAAAAATATTTTGGAAGTAGGCGATCGCTCTTAGCATTCTCCGCCTAGATCTACCATTGGTTTATGTAGTCATGTATGATGAAGATACGCAAGTTTTTCTTTCCAGAGAACTAATATTTGACTCAGTCTATATTTTTATTTTAAATCTTAATCGATAACAATACTTATAATAATAATGTAAATATCTAGTATTCAAATAAGAAGAAGCATCTAGATAATCGAACAATAACTTTGATAATCTATTCACACATTCAATGATACAGACTTTTATTTAGTTATTGAAGCGAATACAAAAAGGATATGAATTACATTTTCTAATTCATTTTGATGACATGCGCGCATGTTCATTCTTTAGTAGAGGGCGGATGTCAAGTGAAAAAAGAACGTGACATTTATATTCGTATTGAAAATAGAAAAAAAAACACTAAAATGTACCAATGTTTCGGTAACGCTTACCAATTATAGATTGTTTGATTAAATTGAGGGATGAAGGAAAAGTTTATACTCGAAATTAAGATTTAGTACAAACAAAAAAATAAAAGAAAGAAATGGTTGTCTTTTGAATTAGTTGGTTGATGATGAGATATAGAAGACGGTACCATGCACACGTAGAAGAAATGAAACAACAACAATAACGGGTTGTTCTTGTTGTCGTCGAATAGCAAAGAAGAAGAAAAAAAAATAGAAATAAACGATCTAGCACTCAATCGCCATTTCTACAAAGACATACACCGCAAAATCAACCACTGAGAGAGAGAAAAAAAAATTTTCTTATGATGTTTGGTGCTTTTTCTATATTATCCCAACTACAAGAACATCTTTGACTTGTTAGTAATATTTTCTCTTTCTCTTTCTCTACACTTCTATGTATGTATAATAATACCACAGACTTGCGACTATTATCGTATACCTTTCTACAGTTTCCTCTTTTTTTGTCCATTCCTTACCAAAGATAGTTTGCTCATAGAATCGGCACCTTCGTACAACGCTATGTTGACGATACGAGCTACTAAAGGAAAAATAGATTTACGTCAGCAGTTGCCTATGTAAATGCAATGATGATAATGATATGAGGAGAAGTGGAAAGAGGAAGAAGAAGAATTACTATCGTCGCGTTGTTGTTGTTGTTGTTGTTGTTTTCGAATGATATCATGCCGAGAACAAGGTTAACTGTTTGAAGCAATGCTTCGATAATTAAAATCAGAGAAAACATATACACTTCATAAGAATGGCGTAGGCTATTGTATGTGTATATCATCCATCAATGTGACACTGGTTATTTTATACATAAATGCCAGAGTATAATGGACTAACATCTACGCTTTTGTGAAACGTTAATTTACATGACAAAAAGAAATAGCTATAAAGTGCTTCGTCTTATTTAAAAAAGAATATCTAATAGAAAAAATAAATAAATAAAAAGAAACAATGATATTAGTGTCTTTTTATCATTCTGATTATCTACGTGACTTTGCAATATACTATATCCCTAGACACCTATTCAATGTTACATGTTATTTCAGAAGAAACTAAGCGCAAATATTTATATATTGTCTATAAACATGATGAGTTCAAGGATATATATTGTCGACTTCATATTCGGCTTATTTGGTCTCTCTCTCTCTCTTTTCTCTGTTTCCAACATATGTTGTTAAATATTCTCTCTTTATCATATCGACATTTTTCTTTTGGCACTATAATCTAGCAAAGAGCAATTTTTTTGTTCTTGCATGCGGTGCCACTATAGTTTATCTCTAATATTTGCATATACAGAGACAGATTTCTTGTAAAAAAAAAACATAGAAGACGATTCTAGACGAAGAATGACGATGAGAATAGCGCGAAAAAAACAAACAATAATTGCTAATGTTAAGAGACAATACACGAACGTAATTTGTGTTCTATTTCCGTTGTATGAATCTTATTACACTGCTAGTTTGCTTCTACTATTTATCAATAAGTACATTTCTCGTCATCAACATTGATGACCACGGTAAACAGTGAAAGAACGACAAAGCAGCAGATATGCATTAGAACGAAAACAGAGAAAGTATCAATGCATTAAGAAGGATATAGAAGAACAAAATGATGACGATTATTGATGAAGATCGTAAAATAGCAATTTACAAATCAATAAATACATTAAAAGATATCTTATATGATGAAAACCAAAAAAAACATACTAGTTTTTCGATACTATAAGAATGATGCTATCCGGAAAAAGCTGTTAAATAATGAAAGAGGGATAGGCAAGGCAAATATCTCACTATCTCGACATTCTATAAAGAGGTGACGAATGAATGACAACAACATTAACATCAACAAGATCGTTCTTTTTCTTCTTCTTTTTCTTTACTGATCATCATCATCAATCACTTGTAGATTTAAGCAATGAAGGCGATCGATCCGATTCCATCATCACCTCCCACCGCTATCTATGTCTCGTTTTTTTCCTGCTCTTTTGTCTATTTTCATATCGGTGCATCTGCTACAAGATTTACTTACATTAAAGATCGACAATGATCGTATGTCGTTGATCCATCAAGAGAAATATTATACTGCGTACACAAAAATAGATGAATCGAGGAATTCTCTACTAACGGCATGTACATGATGAAAGAAACATATGTAGACGAGCGAATATTTTGCAAGTTACAAAAGGAATATGGAAGCTATTAAAATAAAAACAACAAAGCTAATTACGAAGTTATTCACTTTCACTGATAAATATTTTAAAGAAGAAATTATCGATTATTTAAACAAAGAAAACATAATATCGGTTCTCGTCTTAATTAGAATGAATATAAAAACCAGTCAACAATATTAATAACAACAATCATAGAATCAGTCTTCTGTATAACGTTACTTATCATTAGCATCATCAAATTGTTAGACTTATTTGTGGTAAATATAATCATATAGACAGGTGCTATCAATATATTCATTGTCAGTTATATATCCTAATAGAAATCAACGAAAAAAAAATCTGCTAACACAACAAAGTCAGACGACAACTGATTATTGGATAGAAATGATGTACAAAAACATAATTTATATTTATGTTGTTTTCCAGTGACTGTTCGGCCTAGTTTGCCTTTCTATTAATCTATACAAAGAATATATCGTCGCGCTATCCAAACATGGATAATTACTGTTGAAATTTAGTCAATCAGAATAGATTGACAGAACAAAACAAAACTATGTATGGCTAAAAGTTTGACTATAATCAAATTTTTATCTTAAAATTAGTTTAAAATGAATATATCATGTTGCCATTCAAATCGATTAATGAAAAATTTTGTTAGCCACTTTCACTGCATATTGATAAGCTATTCTATTATCATATTCAAATAAGTTCGACTTGTTCTCTATTTCTTTTATCATAGCATACCCTTTATATCGTTGACAAGGTCATATAGAAATGCTACGGTCACATTGATTCCGATAGCTGAATATTGAGGTTTTAATACATGAATTAAATTAGTAAATCTAAACAAATTTGCTTATTTAACAGCTGGTTTTTCATATATAGATTTTTACCAGATATAATTCGATTAATTCAGTAATTATTCATAAAAAGAAATGTTCTTTTTAACAAGTATGTTCAGTTAATTTATATGCAAATGAATATGAAATTAAAAAACGACATTTGACAGTTATTTATGACTTTCGAAAATTTTGATAAATATCACTCGTAAAGAAGAAAATTTTCAATGACATACGTACATAAGTATATTGAAAGAATATGTTTAACATTTTATATATCATCATAAACGAAATTAAGATGGTTAAGATAATCATAAATTAACATTTAACTATTCGTTCTCAAGGACGAAATATTTTAAGAATACTAAAGAGTGATTACAACATAGTAAGTATCAGAAAACATAATTGAAGAGTTCTTTGCATCAATAGTTTCTTGCTATCGTTCTCATTACTCGTCGGCATTTCACTCAACTCAATTGTACTTCGAATGTCAATAAAACTGTCATTCAGACATCGGAAATGACATCGAGAATGTTCATAAAATGAATAAATAATAAACAATGGGTTACTTTTTCTTTTTACTGCGTTTTACCCATTTATTACAGGATTCTATTATATTGATATAATTTCTATCGAATAAATATTATTTTTTAATTATTTTTCAATAAATAATTTCATGCATAGAACTTTTTTTTTTTTGCTTTTTGTACTCATACAATCAACTATAAGAAGAAAAAAAATGAAACTGTTTATCAGATAAATTCTTATCCAGTTTACAATACAAATTTGTCTTTTTCTCAAAATAAGATTAAAAAAAGGCGTTTATTGAGAAACAAAAATTTTCGTTTTCTTGTTGTTTTGTTCTAGTCAATGTGAGCTGCGTGATGATTTGATATTTTATCGATTGGAGGTAAATCACTTTTAAATATTGACATTACATCGGGTAACATCGGTTTTGATTTTAGACCACCTGAAATACAATAAAAAAAAACAATAATTTTTCTTTAAACGTTTTTTTATAATTAATTTCTTACGATCAATATATTGTCGTGCAATAAATTTGAGTATTTCATCGAGTAATATAACCGGTAAAGAGATTTTTATAACAGCCAACCATTCTTCTAACGAAAGTGGACATATTTGAAAAACAGTCTAATAACAAAAAAAAACAACAAAATTTGATATACAAAATAAAAAAACATTAAAATAAATTACATTAAACATTGGAATGTAAAGAATCATCATATGTAAAGACATTGATAAAGTAATTGCATATAATAGATACTTATTTATCCATGGTGGCATTTTAAGAAGAGATTGATTTTCAGATAAACTAAAGAAAAACCAAAGAAATAATTTCAGTAAAAACAATTTTTGTTTAAATAATAAACCTATTAAGTGCATTTAACATTTCAATAGTAACAAGTACTGAAAGTGCCATTGTCATTGGATGTGGATCATCAAAAACGGAACAAGTAATACCTTCCCATTCTTTACCGCCAGCACGACATTTAAAATGATTTTTCTAAAAGAAGATAATTGTTTTATTCTATGACGAAAGAAAACATGAACATTCAACGAAACACATGCTTTTCAAAAAGCTGAACTACTATTTAGTTTTCTCTTTTAAATTAACTCCCATGTCTTCACCTCATCTTATTGGCAACCAAGCAAACTACTTTTCAAATTCATTTAAAGAAAACATACATTAACACGCATACATAGAATAAGTACATGCTTATTACATTGGTTTCTTTTATCTTACCACATATTTTTATCGTAACAATATTACATTCGACCTTAAAATATCAGTTTCTTTTACATTTTATTAACTTAGATTTCTTTCACTAAATTTTTTTCCTCATCTTTCAAATGAAAACATTCAGCATAAAATTTCATACATACCAAATGCCAATAAGAAAGATGCGGACCATTACTAGCATGCATTGACCACCATGTTGCACTCCAAACGACAGCAAAGCCAACATAAGCTAAATGAGAAAAATTAAATATTTGAGAAAAAGAAAAACAAATTCAATCAATGGAATTTACTTCCAATGGCTAAATAACGAAAGAAAAGCCATGGAGTTATTAATGATTCTTTTGATTTTCGTGGTGAACGTTCCATAATATCCAAATCAGGTGGATTAAAACCAAGTGCTGTTGCTGGTAAACCATCAGTTACTAAATTAACCCAAAGTAATTGAACTGGAATTAATGATTCGGGTAAACCAAGTGCAGCTGTTAAAAAGATACAGACGACCTAAATTATAAAAAAAAAACACAAATGCATTTCCCTTTTCCCTTTTCATCCATTTATTATCTTTACTTCTCCAATATTTGATGATATCAAATAACGAATAAATTGTTTCATGTTATTATAAATAGCTCGACCTTCTTCAACAGCAGCGACAATCGATGAAAAATTATCATCAGCTAAAACCATTTCTGAGGCTGTTTTAGCAACAGCTGTACCAGAACCCATTGCAATACCAATTTCGGCTTTTTTCAAAGCGGGTGCATCATTAACACCATCGCCTGTCATTGCTGTTATTTCACCATGTGATTGTAAATATTCAACAATCTTGGATTTATGTGCTGGATCAACACGTGCAAACATTTTTGCATGACGACAAGCTTCGGATTGTTCTTCATTTGAAAGGTCATCGAATTCACGACCACTAAATGCTTTACCTGAATAAGATAAAACAAAGCAAGAAAAATTTTCAAAAAAGTATTAATTTCAAATATTCTACCTCGTGTATCTTCCAATTCATGAAAAATACCAATACGATGACAAATAGCTTCAGCTGTATTTTTATTATCACCAGTGATCATAATAACACGAATACCAGCATTACGACATCGAGTGATAGCTTCATGAACTTCAGCACGTGGTGGATCAAGCATACCAACAACACCGACAAATGTTATATCAGTCTAGAAAAAAAAAAACAAATATTCATTTTCCTACCATTGATATATTAAAAAAACATCGGCATACTTCATAGGTAACAAATTTTTTTGCATCTTCTAAATCCATATCTTCTCTTCGTAGTGGATTATCAATAGTACCTAATGCTAAACAACGTAATGTATCACGACCTGTACCATACTGATGAACTAAATGCAATATTTCTTGTTTAATTTGTGATGTCATGGGTAACTTTTGTGTTCCACATCGAATATGTGTACATCGATCAATAACAGGTTCAGGTGCACCTTTAACAAACATTTTCGCTGATGATTGATTACTACCACTTAAAGCTTTTGCTGCTGTTGTCACATAAGTTGACATTGATTTTCGATCACGTGAAAATTCTAATGTAAATTCTTTATGATATTTTTGATGAATGATTGTATTTGATGCCATAGCTAATTCATGTAATGATAAACAAGATTTATCCGTGTTGAATACATTCATTTTTTCAACCAGAACAGTTAAGGCTGTTTCAGTTGCTTCACCAACTTTTTCAAAAATTTTTTTTGTCTATTAAAAGAAATAAAATCAATAAATGAAATGAATAGAAAACCTATCACTGACTTCATTATAATCTAATGATGAATCATTACATAATGCTGCACATTCAGCTAACTCAATTAATCCACTACGATCTGAACAATGAAATTTCATACCATTCAAAAGAACGTCGCCTTTAGGTTCATAGGTTGAACCAGATATTTCGAATTGTTCAATTTGTAAATCATTTGTATCGGTTTTGTTAAATACAAACATCTGAAAAGAATGGAAAGCGAATAATAAATTAATGTGCTATGCAACAAACAAACATCCTTACACGACAAACAGACATTTGATTTGTTGTTAATGTTCCTGTTTTATCCGAACAAATAACTGATGTACAGCCAAGTGTTTCAACGGATGGTAATGAACGAACAATAGCATTCTTTTTTGCCATTCGACGTGTTCCTAATGCAAGACAAGTCGTAATGACAGCTGGTAAACCCTCAGGAATTGCAGCAACAGCTAAAAAAAAACAATTTGCAAAGTAATTTCTTTTTTTCAAGATTTAAATTCAAATCAACAAACCAAGAGCAACTGCAATCTTAAAATAATAAATAGCGCCACGAAGCCATGAACCACCATGAACAGGATCATTGAAATGACCAATATTGATTAACCATACTGCTACACATATGACTGAGATAACCTTACAAAAAAACCAAGAGTATTGCTCGATTTTCTAGATGTGAACTAGTACATACTTTCGATAATTGTTCTCCAAATTCATCCAATTTTTGTTGTAATGGTGTTTTTTCTTCTTCGGTATCGGCCATAACAGATTGAATTTTACCTTAAATAAAAAAGAAACTCAAGTATTTTTCTTTTATTCTGATTTCTCTTACCTATTTCCGTATTCAAACCAGTACCAACAACAACACCTCGACATTTTCCTGTTGCAATATTTGTTCCCTAGAATAATTTAAAAACAAAAAAATAAATAAAACTTACTACAAATTTTATGAATTAATTTTCTTACAGAAAAAAGAACATTCTTTTTATCTTGATTAACAG